GATCAGTTTCATTCTTTTTTTTCCTTTTTCTTCCCCCGGGGAAACGATCGATTTTTTTTTGGGAAATTGATCAAATCAAAATTCTTGGGATCTCTGAGCTTCGAGCGACTACCGTAATCTCAGCCTATTTTCCTCAATTTCTTTTCTAGAGAGTGGATCTTTGAGAGATTTTCCATCTTAATATTAGATTTTTGTAGATAAACAATCTGGTCAAGTTAAGATAAGCTTTTTAAAGCCTTACTTCATCTTTCTACTGATTAAAGCTTTAAATAGACTTAGACAAGAGCTGACTAAGGGTGTTTTCCATCTTACTACTAGATTTTTGTAGATAAACAACCTGATTTTTATGATTGATGAAAATCGAAAAGCAAATAATATAGAAAAAACCATTTGAACACCTTTTTAAGTAAGATTCGATTACGGTAATCAATAGAGGAATGTAAATTGATTGAGATAAACTTTTAGGGATAAAATGCTCGGAAAAGAAAGCTTACGGTAACGATGTAGCTTTGAATTTGAACGGTAAAAACAAGAGCAAATTATGGCAAAGAAAACTGGGGACAGAGTAATCTTGCTTTAGAGATTACTCTGCAGAAAGACTACGGTAAACAGCACAGTAATTTGAATCAATCGAAAGATTTGGAGAAACTTTTAGAAACTGGTTTTTTGGAAGTCTGCACGTAGCAGTAAACTGTAATTTATCCACCAAGCAGTAAACTACTTGACGGATAGATTACAGTAATCAATAACAAATTCGCTTAAGAGTCACTTTTAGAAAAGAAATGGGACAGCACAGAGTACGGTAGGCAATACAGGAATCTAAAGTGATCAAAAAAAGTTCAAGCTCAGCACAATTATTCGATAATTTGATTACGGTAGGAAGAGTAGAATTTCACGCGACTACAGTAAGCTAAAGAATTTTCTAAACATTACGAGAAACTTTTTAGAAAACACAGGAAATAGAATGGTTTTTGGAATAGGCTATCAATACAGTAAACTAGCTAAAAGAGCAACATTTGAAGTAATCAATACAATAATTCAAAGCTCAAAAAAAGATCACGAAGATCTCTTCGAAGGAAAGATCGAATGACTGAACTTTAAAGAATGCTCAACTTTTATGCCTAAAATGGCTGTCCTCAAATCAACAAAACAGAGTGATGATCGGGAAAAGAAAGAAAAGAAAAGAAAATTGAAGGAAATGGACCGGTTATTTCACATCGGTTTCCCCCATCTCTGATTGGATAAATTCGCAATGATAAATGAGACACCGGAAATGAGAAAAATCGGCGAGGTGGAGGGGAGGGAAAGGAAATGCATTTCAGCCATTTCAGCTTTCAGCTTTTGTGTCATTTTTTTGTAATCGATCGATCCTTTTATCCATCAATAGACAAAATAAATTGATTTTTTTTTGATCTCTCTTTGCACTTAGGTGTTCCTATTTGCGCAGATCACAACCTGCTTCCACATTTCTCTATCTCTTGCTATTGTCATCAAGTGTTTCCTATCTTGGTTGTTCCTGGTTCGGAGTCTTCGACTTGCTTGTGCTGGTGGTGGTTGCACGCTAGCCATCCTTTCTCTGACCGTCGCTGCCACTCTTGTGCTCTACCTTGTTGTCTTGTTGTCTTGTGCTCGTTGCTGGTCTTCCGATGGGCCACTTCTGGTCTCGTGGTAGCCACTTTGTGATCCGTATCGTCCATCTGTCGTCTGTTCTTCTGGCCGGCCCATCTGAGTCGTCTTCTCTCGATCACTTCCACTGGAGACAAAATAAATCAAACAAGATTACGGTGAAAAGAGAAATGAGATATCGTTTAGGGTTCACCTTTTCCGGTATAACTAAAGTACAATGCTCTTATCAGGTTGAGCATAGCCAACCTCAGGAAATCTCTTCCTCAGCCATCTTCATAACTTAACCAGAAATTCGAATCGATTTCTGGATATGATTTTCCGAAAAATGATCCTATTTTGTTCTTGATCTCCTTTTTGAGAAAATTCTCAAAAAATTTCTCTAAACTTTCTTGTATTTTCTAGTTTTGGTCACACATTTTTGTGATATAAATAAATTTTGAAATTTTTTAAAATGAAATTTTTGTTTATCTCAAAGAAAAACGCATCACAAATAGCGCTCCGGAAATGACAAATAAAAGAAATGAAATGGGGATTTTGAAATTTGATCGGTCACTTATCAATATCAAACTATTTTTAGAAAGATTGCCAAAGGAATCAAAGTCACCAAAGTAATTCTTTCATTGGGCAATACTTTTCCACAAAAATTCATCAATGGTCATACTTATGGCCTGCATTTGAGCTTGAAGAATTTTATAGAGAACTATGAATGAGATGTTAATGAGAATTTATAGAGAACTATGAAAGCTACCGTAAATACTGTAATAGTACCCCACTCCCATAATGACGGTGCAGAGTGTTGCGTAGTCTAGCTTTGAACGAGTTTTTCTCGACACTGGTTTATGCTACAATGCGCGTTTAGGTATCAAAAAATAGCACTGAAATTCAGGGCTATTTTTTGATACCTAAGCGCACATTGTAGCATAAACCAGTGTCGAGAAAAACGCGTTCAAAGCTAGACTACGCAACACTCCGCACCGTCATTATCTTTGGTATCAAAAAATAGCCCTGAATTTCAGCTATTTTTTGATAACAAAGACACATTTTTTGAAAGTACGGGTGCTTTGCAAAAAATTAAATACTAAAAAACTTTTGCGACTACCCGACTGTACGAGGGGGTGGGGTACTATTACAGTATTTACGGTATGTTAATGAGGAAATGAAGGATCGATTGCACCAGAACAGAGGCTTTTACGCGATTTGAAAGCACAAAGGAAAAAAGAAAAAAAAGAAAAAAAGTCTTTTTCTAGGGAAAAACAAAGATTATTTGTTGAACAAAGAGTTGAACAAACCCCTAAAATCAATGAGATAATGGCCTTTTTTCATAAAACCTATCCCATCGATCATCAAATTCTCGATCTTCTCAACAATAAGACCGATCGAAAATCGAAAAATTTCCGTTTTCCCATTTTTCGGAAAGTGTTCGCTGGCTGATATTTATTGGGTATCAGAGAACCTTTTCTCTATTTTTTTTCTTTCCTTGAATCCCGTGTCTCGCCTGGCCTACGTAATGGATCGACGAACTGTGAGATCAATTTTGAGATGAAATCAAATCAAATCAAATGAATGGATGGGTGTGTTTGGACGGGCGATGAACTTTGGATAATGATCTTGGAAAGGGTACTGTAATCGTTTGCATTAAACCCCAATTGGTAGACTCAATCAAATGAATAGCGCCAATCGATTCGCGACTCCAAAAACCCTCAGGTACAAATTTACAGCTGAATATCTTCTTCTTGCGCCATCTAGAAGGCAAAAGAAGGAAATTTCTGGAGGAAGGGGTGTTCTTTGTGCGGTCGCATAATCGCTCTCCATCTGGCACACACCCCTGATACATAGATGTTTCCTGAAAGACGAAGGGTGTTGAGCGTCTGAGCCGGTTGAGCTGTTAAAGGCGACACCATGCCTAAATCCCTGGGATCAATTTGCCCTGAAGAGCCGCTCAGTCAATCGACTCTAGAGGCGGGGTCAATTATCCAGCTTGGTTCGAATCAAGTTGACTTCATTCAAGTACTGTACCTGGCTCAATTCACCGAGCTTTACCCGAGAATCCGTAGCCCTCAGTTCTTTGACTACATCTGTCATTTTAATAGGTCTATTAAAATGAGATCTCTGTCCCACGTTTGATCGAATTTCAAAAAACGCTTTTGTTATGCACCTTTTAAGACCATTTTCTAAGACTTTATTTTTTCGTTCAGCCGTTTTCCCGGAAATCGTGTCCTTAGGAGTGCGGCAAGCGTTGGCCTGACCACTTGCCGCTTGCCACTAGCCCCAAAACATGCAGCGAGATTTCGGTTGGTCATTTAAAATTAAAATCTTCGAAAACTGAATCACTACCGTAATCCGTTATTCCGCAAAATCTTAAAAATCTCATTTTTATTCAACATTTTTGCTACAAACTCTAAAGAGCGTTGATTGTAATTGTAGCGATTGATTTTTCAGATTGTTGAATTTTGATTGATTTTTCGATTGATTTTTCAAAAATCATACCATTCTCTCAGGAATTTCGAGCTAAATGAGCTAAAAATAGAAATTTCTCCCACATTGATAGACGGATTTCTTTCTCTTTTCTTCAAAATTTCTCCTTTCTTTGTCATTTTTTGCGTCTTTCAAAGACACTTCCGGTGTAAAATTTCTGAAATTTTGCAAAAACTGCTTTACAAAGAGTCAAGAAACTTTCGTTTTTATAGATAAAAATAGAGACAAGATTACGGTAAAGTGGAGCACGTTTTAGAAAACGGGCTAGAGGAGAGGTGTAATTAAGACAAGAATTGCCAATTCAAACCTTCAATTACAATTTAACAATTACAACTATACGAAAGATTTCGTTCAATTAATAATCCGCAGATTTCCGGGTACTCAGTTAATTGGCGATTATTGATTGGGGATTATTGATTGGGGATTATTGATTGGGGATTATTGATTGGCGATTATTGATTGGGGATTATTGATTGGGGATTATTGATTGGCGATTATTGATTAGCGATTATTGATTGGGGATTATTGATTGGCGATTATTGTTTGGGGATTATTGATTGGCGATTATTAATTGGCGATTATTGATTAGCGATTATTGATTGACGCCAATCAAAATCCCCAATCAATAATCGCTAATCAATAATCGCCAATTAACTGAGTACCCGAAAATCTGCGAAAATTGATTGACGATTATTGATTTGAGTTTATTAATTGGCGATTATTGATTGGCGATTCTACGACACCCTCAAAAATTCCTCATGACTTTATTTTCAGTGATGTTTTCCGAAAACGAGGATTCATTCGATAAAACCCTCACTTTGGCTGAATATTTTCAAAATCGGGGGGAATTTGAAGGCAAAATTTCGAACGTAAATCTCTCTCAGAAAACGCTCGATGTGATGAAGAGGATTCGGATGGATTTCAGCGATCGAAAGGTACTGTAAAGAAAAAAGGGAAATCACAGAATATACACATTTTTAGACATGCAAATTCTATCGGCTATCTTTTTTTTAATAGTATTTTAATGTAATTTAATTTTCCAGCATTTACATTACCGTAATCCTCGACGCGACGATCTCCTTGCCACGATTTGCTCGAAAGTCTGCAGAGAGTACGGAACAACGGTAAGCAACGGTACTTTGTGTTTCGGAATTCTAAACACACCCTTTCTAGTGTACACAATTCCTCATTTTATTTGAGAAAAAGTGAAAAATTCAGTGCACTAGAAGGGGTGTGTTTACAAGAGTTTTTATGTAAAAACAAAAAACATCTTTTCAGCTTGCGTTCAAGAAATCGCTGGATCAGCGAAAGTATTTGAAAGCAGCAAAAGCGATTCTCGTCTCTCATCTCAAAGACGAAGAGGAGTTGCAGAAAAAAATCTTTCAAAAGTTCACGAAACGACTCACGAAATTGAGAGATCTTTGTGAATCAGAGGTAAGGATTTTTGTTTAGAAGTTTATTGAATAGATAATTTTTTTAAAGCTACTATCGATGTGTCCTCTAATCCACTTCCCAAAACGTGTTTCCTTTCTCTTTCTACCGCAATCCTATCTCTACTTTTATCCGATCTATCCACTTTTTTATATCTTTCAATATCATATGTAAACCCTGACAGAATGAGAAAAAAAGTGGATAGATTTGATGAAAATGGAAAAATAGAGACAAGATTACGGTGGAAAGGGGGACACGGTTTCGGGAAAAGGATTATGTGCTGGCAAAACTATAAAGACGTTTCTACCGTAAAATCCGAAGATAAAGGTGCTGGCCTGTAAGCAATTCAAGCGACAAGATACTGTAAATTAAGTTTAAATAAAAGTAGGCTGGATACTTTATCTTCGGATTGTACGGTAGAAACGTCTTTATAGTTTTACTGTCTTACTTCTACTGATTACTGTCTCTTTAGAAAGGTATGATACAGTAAGCGTATCCTTAGAAGATCTCTTTGTAGATTACGGTACAATTCTGCGGTGCCTTTTAACACATTCACGACGATCCGACCAACCGGTGGATCACGATTATTTTTGTTGTCAACTCAAATTTTTAAGGACTTTTGTTATTTATTTCGCAGAAATTTCTCGGTCGCTTTATACTAGTTTCAAGAGGAAATTCAGGGCTATCGAATGACTATTAAAGTTTAGTTTATCTTTGAATCTGCGTCAAATTATCTGTGAAACAGTAACGACTACGCGACTGTACACCCAAAATGCCGTTAAAAGTTTCAGCATTTTAGGAAGCATTTGATCGAGGCGCAAATCTGCTTGTCCGCCAACTGGACCACGCCGTCTCTACGCAAACGAATAAAGCCTCTCCGGTGATGCAAGAGTTCCCCGTGCTTCGTTTGGAGAAACCATTTCAGAAACAAGTCAGTGAAAAAGAGAAGAAATGATAACTAATTTAAACATGGGAAGAAAATCTGACAAAATTTAGATTTGGCACGCTCAGTTCAGCGAATTCGATCGAATGATGCTCGTTTCGAACATTGTCGATTTGACAAAAACCCCCAAAATGGGTCGGGATTTGGCATGGAAAAGCATTCGATGTGCGGAGAATGCGGCTTTTAGTTTGGCAAGGGATCGGGTAAGGCAAAATTTACTTAGACTTTGATAGATTTGACCGTACTTTGAATTACAGTCTGCTTTAAAGATTACGGTATTTGGGTAGATGCTTTAAAGCGTTACACGGCTACCGTAGTTCGTAGCTAAATGTTGCAGTAAATTTGATAAAACTTCAGAACGACTACAAGCTTCGCCTCAAGCGCTCCATCTCGCGGATTCACGAAGAAATGCTATAAGTGTGCCCATTTTGATACTCTTCATTTTTGACAAGAATCTGTTAAACGTGTAAATATGGTTTAGATTTACAATATGCACGCAAATAATGTTAAGAGGGGAAAACATGCAAGAGACACAAACAGTTAGCGCAAAGAAAAAATGCTAAATATTGAAATCTACAGGTGCAAAACATTTGACAAGATAAATGCGTAAAACTTTCAAAAGCTGACAAAATAAATATTCAATTTAATACATACAAAATACAAATCTGATACAAATCAAGTTATTGTGCAAAAACAGATCGATACCAAGTCATTGGATGTTAGTGATAGGTTGAAATCGTGTTAGCGTTATGCGACGAAGGGACGCGTTCTTTTCACGTAAGGCGCATTGAGAGGGCAGTTGATCTAAAAAGAAAGCTTTTATTTTTAAATGAAGCTATTCATTTTTAAGTAAAAGGCTACATAATTTAAAAAATTGTCGACAAATTCATAAACTAAGTCAATCTCTGATGTAAAGCAAGAATGGCGTAAGCAAGTCCTCATAAGTAAAGTTGTTTACAACAAAAATCGCAAACTCGACCTCCAATACTCGCTTCGCAAGTGGCGTCTTGTAGGCACTCGCTGGTGAGTTTCCTTCAATTGAATCGACGGCCATCTGTTCAAACGGATTCTTCGGCGGATCATCGCAACTCCATTCGAAATCCGCAAAAAGGTCATTCCACTGCACCGGCAACGTTTCTTTCTTCCAGTCGGACAACTTCTAAACTCAAACGGTTTACTTTAGCCACCGTAGCTTACCTTCATGTCCTTCAGAATGTTCTCAGGGCGATTTGAGCTATAAGCGTTGCTGACTTTCTGTAGAATATCTGTTGGAAGTCGAATATCGCAATTTTCCTAAATAAACATTGTAAACAACCAAAAAAAATACTTACTAGTTCTCTGAAGAAGCTTTTGCGCATCACTTTTGGATATTCAGCCATCGGGTCTGCTGGATTGTAGCCAAGGCGTTGCGCTGGGTCCTAAATACAAATAAAGTGAAAACTGATTAAGTGTTACCAATCTGAGGAAGGATTTGATGACCGAACGAGCTGACAATGAAGCCGATGAGTTAGTGAGTGCTCGCGATTGGGCAAAACCTTGGAAGAGTTCGGCCTAAACAAATGATGCGCTTTGTACCCGGGCAAGAGTTCCTCTCACTCACGTTTTTCTCCAGGAACTCGACCTTCTTTTGATATCCGTGCGTGTCGCTGCGCATCTTCGTCACCAGATAATTGTTGCCGACGACCCATTCGTACATGCACGTTCCAAGCGCCCATAGGTCAACTCTAAATTAAACAATCAACTTGTGCTGTTTGAAATCAAGTAGATAGCTTCAACAACTGATAGTGTTAAGCTCTTGATGTGGGGCAACCAGATAGCCCAAAAACTTACGAATGATGATAGTCCGTTTGAGTAAAGAATTCCGGCGCAAGATATTCGGCCGTTCCACCACGCGTGCTGGTTGTTGATCCAAGATTGAGCATCTACACAAAGTATACAGTTAAATCAAACGCCCAACACCTTACTTTGCTCCAACCGAAGTCGGTGTGTACTATGCGACCATCCATTGTGACAAGCATATTGCTGGGCTTGATGTCTCGATGGATGACGCCTCTTGAATGCATGTAGAGGACACCCCTCAACGCCTGAGCCACAATTCTCCTAAAAGAAAAGGTGTATGAGTAATTGGAGCAGGGTGCTATCGCAATCAGGGGGGGGGGGGGGGGGGCGGGGTCTCGGATAATTTGCATCTATAGGTAATCGGGCACACTGAATTCAATCAAAATAGTTTCAGCAACTGATTTTCACAGGCTTTCAATGATTTCCTCGTTTTTTCGTACGTGAAATTTCGTTAATCGTTATTGTGGTGCCCAGACTCAAGACATCAAGTGTCTTTGGAGCCAGCTTAAAAGTCAAAGTTATTACAAAAGTAGCGAAAGTATGTGAAAATCGTTTGCTGAAACTATTTTTATTGTATTCAGCGTGCCCGATTACCTATAGATGCAAATTTTCATGGATAAATGAAAGTTTTCCGAGGACCCGCCGACTGCCCCCGCCCTCCCCTGATTGCAATAGCACCTTGGAGCAGTTCCTCAGCAAATCAGCACAAAACATACTTCACAATTGCCTCACTGATTTTGTGATCGCCGAGTGCCTTTGCCAACAAGTGGACGTCCCCAATGGTGCGTTCCATGCTGTAGTAGAATGTGCAGAGATACTAAACGATTTCATTCATAAGCAAACTTAAAATCAAAAACCCTTTTGCACTCAAAGAGACGAACGATGTTTGGATGACCGTTGCATCGCCTCCAGCATTCCGTCTCACATTGGATCGGCTCAATGGTCTAAAATAATGACAAATGATGTAATTTCTTTAAAAACTTACTCTTTCCACCGTTTTTAGATTTTCCAGGAGAACGATCTTCAATGCAATAGGACGCCATTTGCTGTCTCGCGTTTTGTAAACCTAAACAAAACCCTTATTGATGTCAAGCGTTTTAAAAACTTACAATTCCAAAACTACCGCTTCCAAGTCGTCCAGTGAGGTTGAAATGTCTGTATGTGGCGATGGCTTGTTGTGGAACCTAAAGAATGTGAGACGGTAAAATGATGTTTCAGCTTTGTCTCAGGCAATTTCTAATCGCATCAACACTAGCTTTATAGCTTTTACTTTACGGCTAACATAGTTGCACTAAAAGCGCTTCAATATAAACTGCGAAAATTTGACTACTACTTAAACCAAACTTTCTACAGGGTGTTCTAAAAAAGTCAGTTCAGCACGATTTTTCTCCGAACTTCTAGTGGCTCCTGGTGGTTGTTGTGGTGCCAAAGTGAATATTCTGGACGATTAAATTTTGAATATTTTGTCACTTTTTCCCGATTTCATGACCGCCTATACATGAGGATTTCTGAGCCACCATGGTCACCACCACCATATGGGCCCTCACCATGAGATTTTTTGCCATAAAACTAAAACTGTACTGGCACCGTAGTGTCATAATAGAGTTAATATACAAACAAAGATTTTTAGCCAAACACTTTATTCATCTACATTATAAGATAATCTGTCGTGCAAAAGAGATTTTCGACTAGCCTTTTTTAAAAGTGTTCCATTTTTCCAAAGAAACTTTGATCAATAAAGTGTATGGTTAAAATTTGTAGTTATTCTAATAGTATTTATTAATATCTAATAGTATATTAGATAAGCCACTAGAAATTCTGAGAAAAATCGCGCTGAACTGACTTTTTTTTGGAACACCCTGTACATGTTTGAAAAATTCACCTCTAACCGATTCGACACTTTGCGCGTTACGTCTTCGAGTGGCATCATTGAAGTGTGGGTAGACGGCGAACACGATCTAAAGACGAAGTCTATAATCGATTTGCAATTGAATAACACAAAGTGAAATAGAAAGTAAAGTAACAGAAAGCATTTCGGCGCGAGTTAACTCTCTAATTTTGAGGTCAATAGGGAAAAAGCGATGTGTTCCGCAAGGCCCAACTTCTAGACAAGTTTCGAAAAAAGGGAAAATGGCTGGAATTTGCTTGCTTTTACAATTTCAACACAAATGCACTTACAAAAACGGCGTTTTATACGCTTTTTAAATTTTCCGGTGTTCTGGCTTAAATCTATAACTTGTTCACGATAACACAAGTGCCAAGATTTGAAGAATTTTGGGAACTAACGGGAAAACAAGAGGAAAATGAAAACTGTTCCCTTTGGACGGCGCTTTTTAAAAGCGGTACCGTACCCTACGGCGGAGACTACCGTAGTACTTTGAAAAGCAGTTAATTCAGTTCACTCTTACTAGTGTCTCCATGTGCGTTTTTTGTTATTTTTTAAAAACATTTTCAAGTAAAGTGTTAGCTTTTTTGTTTCCTATGATAGTTTCGGCTATTGCGCATGAATACACACACTTTTGGGCACAGTAAAGCTATAGCGAACCAGCCTTTTTATGAATTTCCCTGATAGGGACAGGTTACAATTGTGCTAAAATCAACGTTTTATCCCAAAATTTTAGATCTTTCCAATGTCGCTACACGCAAAAATATACAGAAAATGTTTTTGATATGGCTCGCCTGGAATGTTTCGATCCGATGGGGAAGCCATGTGTCTTTGATGAGGACGACGAGGAAAATCCGGATGGAAATATGTATGCATTAGTTTGTAATTGTTCATTTTCGTTGTTTTGATTTCTAAATCGTTGCTATGCTATTAAATGCATGCTCATAAAGTGTGTTGTTGTTGATAAATAACAAAAAAAACCGAGTAACTTGGCTTAAAAGAAGAAAAACTATAAAATTTACGGTAAAAAAAACACATGGGGACACTTGGGGGCGGTACTTCAAAAGTATATTGACTCTTTTTAATTAAGTTAACTGAATAGTAAACTTTGCATCTATCATTTCTTCTATCTGCCGGTAAACTTTTCAAGAAAATTCATTTTCTTTTCACAGCTTCTCAAGGTCGGTTAATTTGCACTTTTTTTTTGCTAAACTTTTGTAGAATTTGTCTAAAACGTTATATTTTTTACAGTTTCTTGTCCACTAAGTATGCCGATAACGTGCTTTTTCCAGAAATGACCAAAACAGCGTTGGATGTGCCAAATCTTCTGCAGCGGATGCTCAGCATCGGCACCACCGAGAAGGGGATGACAAAACTCGTTAAAGAGGAGGAACTCGTGCAACTTTGCGGTCGGTTTTGAACAGATTTACAGAGTTGTAAAGTTACGACATTGAAATTTTGGAAATCTTTGCTCATGTGGCTGGTTTTGGATCGATATTGAGTTATGAAAGTAGCAACATTGCGATATTTTCAAATTTTTGGTAATTTGATACTTTTTGTGTAGATTGATTAATCGACAACGTTGAATATTTTCAATTTTCATCAATTTTGTGATATTTTTTTGCATAGAATTACCTACCAATTAAGCTACATGGAATATCTTAAAATTTGCTTCGTTTTCAAAATTTTCTTCATGTAGTCCTAGTATTGTACGAAGATTTGACACTAATATGCGTTTTTTTGAAACGCACAAGGTTGTTTGGAAAGCTCATTTAAAGAAGCTTGTTTTCTAAGTTCTTGAAATCTGATTTGTATCACTAATTAATTTTTTTAGTTGAAGCAAAAGATCTCTTCATGTCGCAGGCGGCGCTTGTCGAGATGAATCCACCAGTGCGCATTTGTGGTGATATACATGGGCAATACGGAGACCTCTTGCGGTTATTCAACCAGGTATGCGTTGATGTTGAATTAGTGGTTAGCAAACTTTTTGATTTGTGACTTTTGCTGGTTCAGCAGTTATAGTAAGGTCAATTTTAGCCCGTTCTTTGACGATACATCACTAATTTGAACTCTTTTAGGGTGGTTTTCCCCCGGCGGCCAACTATCTCTTCTTGGGCGACTACGTGGACCGTGGCAAGCATAATCTCGAAGTGATCACATTGCTCTTCTGTTATAAGGTGTGGTTTTAGCTGACTAATCAATAAAGATCATTGTATCAGAATAATGGTGTGAGCTTGGAAAGCACAGCATATTGATTTGTCTCAATGGAATAGATTGCATGCTTTAACTTTAACAGGATGTTAAACTGTCGTTATCATATTTTAAACCGTTTAATCGTTTTGCTTTTTTAGTTACTCTACCCGAAAAACTTCTTCTTGCTGCGCGGAAATCATGAAACTTCATCGGTGAATCGAGCCTACGGCTTCTTTGAGGAATGCAATCGGCGCTATCAATCACAACGCTTATGGAACACTTTTCAGGTATTGTTGCTTTTGGAATTGAACTTGAAGTAAAGCCATTACTCTTCATTAGTGCCTTGTCTTGTCATTTAAAAGTGCTGGTCAGAATTTGCACCTACAAGTCAGGATTCCTTTATGTAGCCAAAGCAACTATTTTTCGTTTAGGACACATTCAACTGCATGCCACTCTCGGGACTGGTTGCTGACAAGATTCTCTGTATGCATGGTGGTCTCTCGCCATTCCTCAAAACACTTGACCAACTTCGGGAGATTAAAAGGTTTGTTTTTGTTTGCTTATCAATGAACTTCCCTGTTAGACCAACACAGGCTCAAACAAATCCGACACTTGAGGTGGACCTCCTTTGGGCGGATCCCGTTGTTGGACAAAGTGGATTTAAGGTTTGAAATTGAAATTTAAAATTACAACAGCTATTTTATTGTTTAACTGTCAATATCAACTTAAATTTATCGTTTTACTTTAGGCAAATATCCGAGGAGCCTCGGTGGGATTTGGTGCAGATGTGGTGGCGGCAATATGCACCGAGTTGAACATTGATCTGGTAAGGGTTTAAAATTTGTAAAGCTAAATTTCTTTTTTTCAGATTGCCCGTGGACATCAAGTGGTCCAGGATGGTTACGAGTTTTTTGCCAAGCGAAAGTGAATCTTGAGTTTGATTAATTAGTTCTAATATGTTTCATGATTGCTTTAAATGCTTATTTACTTTTTATTTCAGATTGGTCACCATCTTCTCAGCTCCGCACTACTGTGGTCAATTCGACAACGCCGCCGCCGTGATGACTGTTGATGAGCATTTGACGGTGGGTGGGATTGGATTGAATTTAGTTAGCAATGAGCTTGATCTAGGTAATGATTAAGTTAAAGAAATGAGTACGTCAGAAACTTTCAGACAGAAATAGAATGCATGATTTTCAATGTAGCAGTATTTTTATATGGCTCTATCAGTAGATTTTACTCATTTCACTTTTTTAGTGCTCTTTCGAGGTCTACCGTCCATCGGTGGGCAAAATGTTGACAAAGGTGACAAAATGTTGACCGCTCAATGAATGATGCGCAATGATGAAAAAACGGTGACCAGAATTATTCATGCTCTTTTTATATGCACTCACTTTTCATTTTTTTCGTTTCTTTCTTTCTGTACATAGCTGTATTTATGTAAATTCTTCTGTCTTCTGCGGGATAGGACATTGCATCTCTGTCTATGTCTTCTCGATATGTTTCTTGTCTCAAAATGCTGACTTTAATTCGATTTTTCTTGATGTAATCGCTAGAGTATCTTGGATGTAAGAGGGGTGGATAAATTGTTTGGAGCGGTGGGTAGCAGTTGGTGGATTAGCTTTTTTGGATTGAAAGTGAAAGACATTGTGGTGTTAGTCTACTCGATACGCTATGAATAGGTCTGATAAAAGTGATTGGCTTTTGAAATGCTTAATTGATATTTTGTAGAGAGATAGAGTTTCCTCTTGTGCAAACGAATGTCACTACAGTACTACTTCAAGTTACCGTACATGATACATACATAATATAAAGTCTTTGATACTGTGTAACGTCTGCAGTAACTGTATAGTGCTACAGTAAGCCTATGGTCTGACAAAACTGAATAGTTTTCCTCTCCTCTCCTCTCCTCTAATCTATTTCCTAAGCCATGTCTCCCGTAAACTTGTCTCTATTTTTGTTCAATCAATCCACTTTTTGTATCTTTTGATATCCTTTGAAGCCTCACAGAATCAGATAAAAAAGTTGATAGATTGGATAAAAATGGAGACAAGATTACAGCAGAAAGGGGACACATTTTAGGAAACGAATTAGAGGAGAAATACACTCTATACTGAATCAATTTGTGCGTGATGTGTGAAAAATGCTTTGTCATTGACACTTTTTCCGCGAAAATCGTCAAAAAGGGAACGTGACTGGGGAAAAGAAAAGGAGATTTCTCTCTCAGAGAGTGACTCATTTCACATCATTTCTTGAGCTTTTTTGGGCAATTTTGATGAACGCTCAATTTTGTTTCCGAAAAAAATGTTTTGATGGAAGTGAGTGGGCTTTTCGAAGAGTTGAAATTGGCTAAATGGGAATTTTGGTTGCCAAATTTGGGGATGTAGGATTTTGGGTATAAATTTGCGGGATATCTTTTGGTTAATATCGGATCTTGACTTTCTGATTTCCTTGTTCCCACATAAAAAATGAACTCTTGCTTGGTTTTGTTGGCTTTGTTGGGCGTCTCGTTGGCGATGATGTTGCCACCGTATTACAATGGACGTTTCGAGGGGCACCATGGACATCATCACGGATTCGAACCCGAATATCAGAGGTTTGGGTGAGTTTTGGAAAGATTTTTAAAAGATTTCATTGAGGATTACGATAGTTTTTAAGGGCTAGGTGGGCTTTAAGAAATTGAAAATTCTAACCATTCTAACGACGATTATTACTGTAATCTGTACAATAGTTTGGGCCAGTTTTAGAAAGAATCTAAAAAGAATTTGACTGTTGATGGTAGCTTGATAGTCTTAGGCGAGTCTTAAAAAACGGTAGTGCTTGGGTAACTAGTCGATGAGCTAGACTAGTGCTTTTTAGAAAGCAGTACAGTATTCGAAACGTAAACCTTTGCAGACATCACAATCGCTTCCGTCGCCAGTACTTTGGTGGAATGGGTGGAGGACGAGGAGGATTTGGAGGAGGATGGGGTGGAATGGGCGGTGGAATGGGCGGAGGAATGGGCAGAGGGATGGGCGGAGGGATGAACAACTTGGGAATGATGGGTGAGTTCTTGAAACTTCTAAAACAAACGAGCAAATAGAGTCTCTAAGCTAAAGTACAAAATGTAATCTGACGCATCTAAGCATCTAAACAATCACAAAACCGAATTCCTCTTCAGCAGCCCAGATGGGCGGTCAATTCCCGGGCGTCGTGCAGTCCAACTCCAACAGTTGGGGCTCGTTCAAATCCGAGCGCCAAGGCGGCTTCAACAACCAGGAACAATCGCTGATCATGGGCTAGATATGTGTATTTTAAAATTTTCTATGCTAATTTATTTATTTAAACAATTTTGATGTTTTTTTTGATGTGCTCTACCGACTCTGAACCGTTTAGTTCAAAATTTTTTGCTTGAAAACTTTAAATTTCACTCGGGTACCCGTATAAAATGAAAAGAAAAATAAAAATTTTATCTTAAAATTGACTAAAATTTCATGAAAATGCAAGAATACAAAGGGATTTTTGAAAAAAATTTTGTTGGAAATTTAAAGAGAGGTAAAGAAAAAAGGATTAGGAGAAAGGGATAGGAAAATTGAAAAAAAAAAAAAAGAATTTGATAGGAAACATTTGAATTGTTGAATTTAATTTGCAAATAAATTATATAAATTAGCATACTGAATATGAAAATGAGAGATTTGAGAGCTTCTCTTTTATGTTGGTCGTTCGCAGAAAAACCCGTGCGACATGTGCGCACAACGGACGCCCGCCGGGCAATCGTGGTTGAATTTGCACTGAAAATTTGCGCCATTTGAATGTTTAGGAATAAAAATTTGACTCGATTTGATTGACTATAGGTATATAACGAGAAAAAAACGGGATTTTCAATAAACGCTATTTTCAACGACAACTTTTCAGCATTTCTTGCTAATTTTCGAATTTCTCAAGCTCTATCTAGAAAACCCGTGAAAGAGTAGTATCTCTTCTTTAATATCTTTAAATTCAAATTCTCTGTGATAAGGTGAGATAGTGCTCGTTTACGGACTCCTCGATACGATACTCGATAGCTGTTGAAATGGGGAAATCTTGTTTTTTTCGTTGTACACTAATCAGACAATCAGATTGACAAATGAAGCATTTTCTAGAAATCATTACATTACACTTTTCAATTCAAAAATCATCTTGCACATACAGTACTGGACAATGAAATATCATATTTGAAAAACGATCGTCACTTTCGCGCCTCTGTAACTCCCTTGTCTTTGAGTTTAAACTATTAGTGTTATACATTTTCTGAAAGCTCTTTTCAAGGGCTACACAATGGTAATATTAATATTTAGAAATATGATATTTTTTGACGCATTTCAGCGCGCACAAGATGGGATACTCAAAATTGTTGATTTTCAAAGCCGTTTTTCTTTATGATAGAGTGCTGGAATCGCTCTGAAACTATGATTTTCGGAATCTACGCAAAAATTTACCTTAGAATCATCAAAATTTGTAAAATTGTATCACAGTTTCATAGCGAAAAAAAACACATTTGCGAAATTCTCACTTCTTGAGCGGTCAAGCGAGGAAGAAGCTGGAAAACAAATATTTAACAAAAATGTAGTTAAATTAAAAAGTAACAAAAACAGTAACAATAATGAGAAAACCCCAGAGCACACAATGGGCTTTCAGTATTTAGTAGCAAATCCTTTAGCGTCGATTACAGCTTGACATCGCCGAGGCATTGAATCAAGAAGATTAGTGATGAAGCTGACGGCGATTGAATTCCAAGCCTGCTCCAATTGTGCAAACCTCTCATCGGCATTGCCGGCTTTGAGATTCTTAGTTCGTCGCTCAAGTTTCGACTTTTCGAACTTTAGATCGTTATAGAAATCTGGAGATGGTTGACTGAGAGACGGTAAACTGTTCCGATAACTGGTTCTGGCTAAGACCTTGCTTTTTGCCGTTAAGGATTTCTTGTTGTGTATGCACATGAAGATCCTTGCATCCTCGTTGCTTTTCCATTGCTCCTAAAAACAGTAATTATTATCATTTTACCCAAGGCAAAGAAAGAAAAACATTCAAAGTTGCACGCAACACAATTTTTGTGAAGAACCGCTCAAGAAGTGAGAATTTCGCAAATGTGGTTTTTTTCGCTATGAAACTGTGATACAATTTTACAAATTTTGATGATTCTAAGGTAAATTTTTGCGTAGATTCCGAAAATCATAGTTTCAGAGCGATTCCAGCACTCTATCATAAAGAAAAACGGCTTTGAAAATCAACAATTTTGAGTATCCCATCTTGTGCGCGCTGAAATGCGTCAAAAAATATCATATTTCTAAATATTAATATTACCATTGTGTAGCCCTTGAAAAGAGCTTTCAGAAAATGTATAACACTAATAGTTTAAACTCAAAGACAAGGGAGTTACAGAGGCGCGAAAGTGACGATCGTTTTTCAAATATGATATTTCATTGTCCAGTACTGTAGCTATTTTGTTTCCTTTTTTTTTGACTGTCAAACTAGTTTTATCTCCTTAGAGCTTTGGTTTTCAAATTCCAAATTTATTTTATAGGATTTCTCGTGAGATAGAGCTCGTTTACGGACTCCTCGATACGATACTCGATACGATACTTGATACAATACTCGATACAATACTCGATACTTGGAGTGTGCAAGCCAAATTTTCTAGAATTCAGAGTATCTCGAATTCGAGACTAATCTCTTCTTTAATATCTTTAAATTCAAATTCTCTGTGATAAAGTCAGATAGAGCTCGTTTACGTACTCCTCGATACGATACTCGGTACAATACTCGATACGAGACTCCATACGATACTCGGTACAATACTCGATACGATACTCTATACGAGACTCTATGCGATACTCGATACGATACTCTATACGATACTACAATACTCGATACAATACTCGATACGATACTCGATACTTGGAGTGTGCAAGCCAAATCGCAAAATTGCAAACTCCACCTTTTCTAGGACACTCAATTCATGTTTTCTCATCGAAAGAATCAAGATTTGAAATGTAAACCGACCGTTTGTCCATGCCTGAAAGGATTCGCTTCCACGATCACAATCATCATTAAAAATATTAAGAAAACGGTAAAAAATTTGATCATCGTAGAGTTGTGTGGGTGCGGTAAGTAGTACAAGATTCGCTTTTTTTCAAATAAATGCCAAGCTTTTATATAGTTTTAGTCAAAAATGGAGAGGTTTTTTTGGCTTTTTTTGTGGAGGAATGGATCGAATTTCCCCCGAAATTATACGGGCAAAGAGCAGGGAAAAGAGGGAAAGCATGGGAAAGAGACCCATCGGCTATTCGATATTACATATCGCCAATGTACTATTTATGCTAATTGACTTCATTTTTCGGAGAGATTTCTGTCTGGCAATCTGTAATCTGCTGTACTTTCGAGAGGAGTTTAATGGGTTAAAATTTAAACCAAACCAAATTAAACCAAGCCAACAATACAATCCGTCTTGAGAGTTTTGTGTATCGATTTTTCGGGATTCGTTATTCAAATCGACCTCCATTTTGTTTCAATCGAAAGCTTGAAGTTTTCTCGTTAAAACGATATCAAAGGTTTACAATAATATTAGTCCTAGACGAAGTTATGGAGGATTCAAATGTGTTGAATCTAACACAGCTCAGTGTTGAATGTTGGATTGGCTTGAATACTTCAATATCTTTATTCACTCATAGAACCAATTCGATTCCAAGTCAATTTTTGAGATCAATGGGGAAATGAAACTTTTTCTTATCCAAGCATGAGCATATTATCTTGTCGATTGAATCCGCCTTGTTTTTGGGAGAAATAGGAACCCCAGCTGTTCATTGAGGATTGCATCACACCCGGGAATGAGCCACCGAAATCGAATTGACGACGGGCACGATCGTGACTAGAATATAGGATTATTTAAAGGCTTTTTTACAGTAGATATTTAGATAAGTTCTTTACAGTAGATATTTAGATAAGGATTCAGTTTTCCAAGCTACACTACCAAGAACACTTATTGTTAGAAAGTGCTTTTTGAAATGAAACTAAATTTTCTACCAAAACGTGTCAAATTTCAAAAACTACCGAACTTGAGCGTTATAAGACTACGATAGTGGTGACTACCGTAATCTTGCTGTCTCTAACTGCTACTAGATATCTATTAGTACAATATGACTGTAGTTTTGTTCAACCAACGTCACAGTTTCCTTGTTCGGCACCGGTCCGCCAGTTGTCACCTCAAAAAGGGCAATCGACACGAGTAAAAGGATTAGAAAGAAGAATTTCATTTTAAAAAAGGAATTTGAAATTGAATGCAAAATTTGATGATTTGACCTGAAATCCACCATCCATTTTATACTCTTTCCTCAAAACAAAACCCGCTTTTCGACCAAGTTCGCTAACTTTTTCAGTGTCATTTCGGTTATTCCCAGAAATAAAAAAACTCCTTTTTAATCACTTTCCCCCAAAATCTCTCTGAGTTCCTTCCAAAAATGATGCATTTTCTCGGAAATCTCGCGAGAAATTCGAAATTTTGCCCGAAAGTTCGCCAAAAACTTTGAGCTTTCAATGCATTTTGGGCGATCCGACCCGAGTAAATTTTTTAAGCTTTTTTTTGAAAATCTTTGGGTTTTTCGCGGTTCCGTGTTCATTTTTCGCTTAGTCACACGGGGAAAATGAAAAAAATTGTCAAAATGTCGACTTTGGTTCAGCAAATTTGCCAAATTTACCCATCAACAACCATAAAATTTTCTTTTAGCAGGAAATTTTGTGAAAAATCTTAAAGTTGACGATTTGGGGAAGCCAAATGATGTCATTTGCAATTATTTTAACCAAACGAATCGCAATTTTGGCATAAACCTCTTAACTGTGCAACATCTCTATAGAGATTTCGCCTTGGCACTCAAATTTCGTGAGCTGCTAAAATGCACAATATGCTCATTTTTCGAACTTTAGATTTTAAATTAATAAATTTGCATTTGAAAATTTTCGATAAAGCAAACGGTGCGCAAAAAGAAATTTTCATTTCGTGCTTCTTCCCAATTTGAGAAAATGCTATTGTTTTTCATGCTTTTGGTGAGTTTTCAAGTTTTTTTTATCTAAAACGAGTAAAAACCATTGAGATTGCTGCAAAATGTATAAAATTGATAGAATTTTGTGAAGTAAGCGTGACGAATGCATAAAAATGAGCGAAAACTTTGACAAACCTTTGATTTTTTTGATAAAAACAATCGAATTTTTATATAATTCTAAGGTTTTTGATATTTGGCTAATCTGAAAGCTTAAAATGATAGCTTTAAAAGCTTGTTAGCCTTTAAAAGTCACTTGTATTTTGCATGTTAAACGTTTTGTTATTCTTTGTTAGCCTCTGAAAAGCTACGTTGCGCCAATTTTTTTGCGCAAATGTTACAAATGTTACAAATGTGACCTAGTTGCGCAAATGACCCAGTTGTGCAAAAAATTTGGGCAAAGTAGCCACCCCCGAAAAGCTTAAAGTTTTGTTAAGAGTTCAATCGTTATTTAATATATGTCTATGATCTTTTTAAAAATCTCTATTTTCTCTATTTTCAGCTCTTCATCTCCGTTTCATTGGCTTCAAAGTATACTTTTGATGTGGATGCGTTTCGGGTGAAAGATTTCGTGCACATAGCGTGTGGCCAATTCGACGTGTGCAATGCGAATACACGGTTTGTTTCTTTGATTTTTGTTGTTGTTGTACTTTTAGATTGAAATATCGATCGATAAAGGTAAATTTGTGCTAGTCGTGTATGCTGTTTTAATCATTTCTAATTTTTCCTAAAGGTATTTGAATACTCTGCGCCAAATGATGTCATTTGCAACTATTTTAACCAAACGAATCGTTATTTTGTAAATCGTCTATAGAGATTTCGCCTTGGCACTCAAATTTCGTGAGCTGCTAAAAATAAAAAAAACCCTAATCAGGAAATTTGGCATTTGATTATCATAGCTGCTTAAAAGGATGAAAGTTAGAAACTTTACAAATTCTTTCATTTAGAAAGAACCTCATGAACACGTACAATTTTGTCCACGATGCCATTTCAACTACCCGCTGGATAAAAATGAACCTAACGGGCTCCATAAAGTAAGTGTTTTCTTTTAGCAGTTTACAAAAGTGTTTAGGGTATTTTATGCTAAGTTGAACTCAAGAATATCAATTTAGTACCGAGAAACTTCGCCAGAATCAGCAAATATGGCGTGATCAGTTCTGCAAAACAGTCGATCCGACGGCTGCGCTTCTTTTCGTCAACCAGGCAGTCATCGAGACATATGAGATTGCTTGCGTCTCAGAAGGTACGCTTTTGTCGAAAGTAGACTTGGGTACTTAACGACTACTTTAATATACTAATATTTGTTATTTGAAGGCATTGGTATCTTTATTGATATTACTAATTAAAGCTAGTTAATCTTTTGTTTTAGGCGGCAGTCGAGTACAATTCTGTGCACTGGCTCCGAGGAAGCGGCCAAAAGATGTGTATGAGTACATTGAAGCAAAGGATTGGCAAAGAAAGGTGGAATTTTTGTTTTAAACAATTTTATGCCAATGCCAAACAATTTTATGCCAGCCCTGCCCTTGACACTCTTGACACAAGAAAGCTTAAATAGTTAGACTGAATAATTTATCTACTTGATAATATTTTTTCTTAAGGTGAAGCAGTTGCGAAAGGCTATTGACTGCAGTCCAGACGATATTGAGATAGCTAATCAGGTGAGTTTTTTTTAAAAATCAATCATTGAACTTTTCCGCTTTTAGTTGCCTGAATTGCACGTTTGTCGAAAAAATTGTATCCACGGTGGCGTTTCACTTTCCGGGGTGAGTTTTTATATTTTCTAAGCTAGATATACCATTATTCAAAAGGATGCTAAATGTAAAAGTTTACCAAAACTGTGTGCAAGCAAACTTTACTTCAAAATTTACTTTATTATGCCTTTGGCGCATTCATTCACCCAAAATAGTAAAACTTAGAGTTAAAGATAGCCGTTTTTGTCTGTTAAAACTTACTGAAACCTTTGAACCCATAAATTCCGTCAACTTTTATATCGGAAAACTATTTAAACTCCTAAACTAATCTCTGTTGTTTCAGTTACTCATGCTTCTCTTGCTGATGTTCTTCTCCTTTTCGTGCATTGTTTACCATTTCGGTCGAGACTGATTGGAGGGATGGATGAAGAATTTCGATAATGATGGTGATTTGCTCATTCAAAAGTTCAATAAGTTTATTTTTCTGTTGTTTGTCTACTTATGATAGAGTTCTGTTTGTTTCTAATCCGTTCTTTTTCCTTGTGATGATAAGTCCTTGTTGATCTCACTTTGTTTTTCATTTTTTCTGTTCTCACAATATAAAACCTTTATTTTGGAGCCATATGGATTAAAAATTAAACGAATTCTTTCAAATCAAATCGTTGAAACGATATCTGACGTGATTTTCATGGTTATTGGTGGGCGCTTTTGCGTTCCATTTCACCAATATCGTTTCAGCTGTGGTCAAATCGATCAAATTGTTCGTTTTGATGGTGAGGATCTGGAGTTTGGGATTAAAATTGTACATTTAGACATGGAGAAATACCATAGCTAGTGAAAGTTTGATAGAAATCTGTATAAAGTACTACGGTATCAGACCCGTTTTCTAAAACTTGTCCCCTTTCTCTTTCTACCGTGATCTTTTCTCTATTTTTATTCAATCTATCCACTTCTTATACCTTTCGATATCCTTTTTGAACCCTCACAGAATCAGACAAAAAGTGAATAGATTGGATAAAAATAGAGAAAAGATTACGGTAGAAAGGGGCACTTGAAAGGGATATTGTAGCGGATTACGGTAACTTTTAGAAACTTTTTTCGAACCTGTGTGAACGGACTGTAGCTACTCGTTTGCATGTTCACGTTCACTTGTTTCCCGTTGATGGTGAATGCGGTGAGATCGGGCGTGTTTGAATAACCGCAAACGATGATCTCATCGAGAGTTGGAAGGGGAACGTTGTTCTGGAAACGGATTGGTTTATTCACTGAGATCTTTCATTCACCGCTTTATTCGTTCTCTCGATCGTCAACGAGCCTGAGGTGGGCGCATCGAAGAATTTGAACTGGAATCGATGATAGTCGAGAGTGGTGATATCGTCGGCGATCGTGATCCCGTCATCCCAGAACATTTCCCCGTTCGCCGTGTGGGTGCCATCTCAATTTGGGAACGGTTTTCGAGTCAAAGCCGGATTCTGCTGCGTGCCCTGGCTACAGTAATCCAGTGAACTGTAGCAAGTTCACGGGCACATTTACTTTACATTGAAGGGTACTGTACTGTGTGACCTAGCTACAGTAATCAAGAATTCGAAAGTTTGAATACTGTAGAATTTATGTTGGATACTGTAATGCTAGACTTTCGAACCTCACCAAGTGCCACGAGCAAGCCAAACGGATTCTTTCGCGAGTCGACCGTGGTGACGTTGGGGTTCTGCCGGGGAACGATGTAGCCACCTGTGAAAATATACTTTAGATTATCTAACAGTTACTAGAAGATACTGTAATCTGCTTTCATTACAGTATGCCAAGCTGAAAGTGTTCAGACTTTGCTCTTCATTATAATTGCATTTACATTTACAGTATCTTTAGATCTCTAAAGTAAATTAAAGGTAGGATATACCTCGAATGAACGTCGGAATGTTCGATGTAGTCGGTGCGGGGTAATCGTTTTTCCCAGGGGCGACGCTTTGATACTCGAGATAGTCGAAGATTGAGTACCAGATACCGCCGGGGAGATAGACTGAGACAGAGGTGGATCCCTGCAGAAATGATTATAGAGATTTGCGAGTGATTGGCACTTTGAAGCGTACTGTAAGGCTTTAAGTTCAGCCTTGGGCATTTAAACCCTGGTCTCTATTGCATCACCTACACTACCGGTCAAAATTATATCCCCTCCAAAAAAAGTGCCCCTCCTTTGGAGGCTTGTAACATTTTGTCTAGTCATTGTACAAGCGTGTGCCTGGGAGATTCTGAAAGCTCTTTTTTACCTCTACAAGATTCACTATAAGGCTTTTAAGAAGGCGAAAATTTGAGACAATTTTTAATGGCTTGGATCAGAGGTCAAAATTTGTGTGCTTTTCGGAGCGATTTTTATTTATCGCAAACCGTTTGAATCAATTTTAAACTGTATATTTTAAAAAGATCGCAAAAAATTGACCCTAGGAAAGTGTTTTTCGCAATTTTTTAATGGTTCTCACTAGACAAACAACGCCGATTAGGAAATCTCCGCCTTAAGGAGTCGTGTAGCTCTGGGTTATCCGTTAGACGTTTCTCAGACTGTTTTTTATGTTAATTAACCTTTTTTTAGTGTTTTTATTGAATTTAATAATATTAACCGCATTGAAAAGCTTCAAAATCTCACATGAATGAATCAATTAAAAATCGTCTCAAATTTTCGCCTTCTTAAAAGTCTTATAGTGCATCGTGTAGAGGTAAAAAAGAGCTTTCAGAATCTCTCAGGCACATCCTTGTATAATGACTAGACAAAATGTTACAAGCCTCCAAAGGAGGGGCACTTTTTTTGGAGGGGATATAATTTTGACCGGTAGTGTAGCTGCAGTAATTGAGTAAAAAAAAAATTATAGGAAATTGGATTGGCAAATTGAAATGATATGTAATATTATTTACAATATTTACAAGTAAGGTACTGGCAATGTAAGCCGTGGGTTTTGAGGCAAATCAACATCGAACTACCGACAGTAACCCGGTTTTTTTTTCAACTCAAGATGAATTTTAAAATGCTGCATCTTTTTGACAATCAACTGACCACCAAAAACTCAAACCTGGGTCACAACTGGGGCCACCAGCACCGCCGGACCCCACATGAATTGATAGGAAAGCGTCGGGGTGAGCTCGTCGTTGGGAAACGAGAAGAAAACCGGGCGAATCACTGGAGAACCACGAAGAGAAGCGGCAAAGTGAAGTCTAGGAGAGATTTTGGAAAAGAAATCGAAATGTTTCTTACGAATAAAGATATGGCAAGTGACGATAGCGGAAAAGATTCGCTTTTTTCGTCGCTGCGGCCACGGTCGGCCAGACGGTCGGCTGTTGTGCTGGGGAGCCGTTGTCGTTGTGATTTCTAGAATTGAACTAATCCGTTTTCTGAAAGGCATCCAAACTACCGTAATCTACCCTTTTTCATTGAATCAGCTCAATTTTGATGACATTAACTGAGGCTTTTGATTCCCTCAAATGTCATCAAAATTGGGCTCTTTTGGTGTACTTTGTGCTCACTTGTAAACACTCTCCATCTAGTGGATTCAATCCTTCACTAGATACAATCGATTACCTGAAGAACGAGTGGAAAGATCCCATTTGTTGCCACCTCAAGCACAACTCTTCGGTGGTTGCGCCGATGAAACCGCAGACATCGGAACCAACGTACGGAATGCCGAACATGTTGAACTCTTGGGCACCTAGAATTTTTTAGGTAAATCTAATACAACCAAATTTACTGTAGAGTTTTCCTTCGCAAAGTTTCTCTTCTAGTTGCAACTGTACTAGAGCTACTTAGCTTCTTTTAAAAGTTTTAAAGAAACAAAAGTTTACTACATACGTAAATCGACTATTACCATATCTTTAGCTGCTGTATTCCGAGGGTACTGTAATCTATTAGAGAATTTAGATGACTTAGAATAAAATTTAGAAAGCGAATTTAAATTAAAAACCGATGACTGATGTCTGCAAGTCCTCCCAACGAGCCGTGTTATCGCCAAGCCAGTGACCCGCGTATTTGCCGATTGATGGGAATGTGGATCTAGAAAAGAAGGGTTATGCAAAAATTATTTACAAAACCAGAAGCTTTGCCTGCTTTTACTGTCCCTAGATTGTGCACGCTCAGGCTGACCCAGTCAGAACTGTTTAAGCAACCATTTTTCTTGACCAAGTCCTTGGATTCACCAAAGGAAGGCTTTGTTTACTCTGGCTTGCCCGCTCTGACCTGGCTTTGCAGCCCCTAGGGTCTTTTCGAAGATCCCGAAGATCTACATAACTAAAGTCATTAGTGTGCTTACCTCGTGATGACAGCTCCGCGTTGCTTCGTCGCGCCTTGAAGGGCCGCTTTGGTGGCTTTGGCCTCAGACCAGCCGTAGAGGTTCTAAAAATGGTAAGCTAAGGATATAGAAGTTTCAAAAGCTTTCAAAAACTTTTAAAAGCTTAGACATGTCAAACCTTTGTATTGTAAAAGGGTTGTGTTCGATTTGCCGTCCTTGCAAGCATGCAAAGCGTTTTCGTGTAAAGGGCACTCTGAATGAGTTCTTGGTTTTGAAAAACGAAAAACTTGTGTAGCTTTTCTGACTTACTCCATCATATTGATAAACGGCTTGCGTGAGGTAGGGAGCATTCTCCCAATAAGAGTCATCTCCAGAGGTCGGACAGAAAAGCGGGGGAGCGTTCGGGTGATCCGAATTGTGATAGTACCCAAAGAAAACGATTACACTCAAGTATCTGACAAAAATAAGCAAAAGAATAAGCAAAATAAGCACTTTTCAACTACATTTCCAAATTTACCATGGATCTTGCTCATTCGTGCCGAAGACAGATGGCTCGTTCATGTCAATCCAACTCCCATCGAAGCGCACCTCAAATCCCTTAGGTCGGTTTTTTTTAAGTTTTAAAGTTTTAAAGTTTACCGTATTGTCCAGAGTCAATATTTAAGATTATATATTGTTTATAAGTATAGGTTTACTGTACTTTAACCAATCGGACTGATAGTTTAACTAGATAAGTGCCAACCTGTTGATAGAACTGCTGAAACTCAGCACTCCACCATTTGGCTGTCTGCCCGCTTGTGTCAAGGAAATCGGGGAAAGCGACATGACGATCCGGCCACACCTAGGAATATTTGATGTTCCAGAATGGGTATCTTTACAGCAAACGTACCACTCCAAGCATTGTCAGTTTTCCTTTTGTGAGTGGGTAGAGATCGTTCAACGCGTTCTGCACTTGTGATGACTTTTCCCATTCGATGAAACGAGCTCCCTGCAATGGTTGGATGACTTGAACTTGTAAACGCATCCTTTCTGGCGTACTGGATCCTTCATTTTTCATAGAAACGGTTCGAGAAAAATTATAATTTCCAGTGCGCCAGAAGGGGTTTATTTACAGGAGCACAAAGTGCTATATTACCGAGCTGATTCCCCTCTGGAAAGTGTCGTAATCGACTTGAATGGCTGGGTCCCAGATGAGAATCACACGCATTCCCCAGTCGTGCAGCTGATTCACGTAAGCAGGCAAATTCTCCCAGCCCTGGAAAAAGGAAGAGAATTGCTTGATGACAAAGGAGAAACGATTTGGATATTACTGTAGCAACCGGAAGGGAATCGGATTACTAGAGCACGATTCGGCTACCGTAATCCGTCACTTTGCTCTACTCTAACAGCTACTAGGTAATCGACTTACGGGTTACGGTAGCTCGTAAGGAGTCGAGTCACAGTTTCATTTTGAATACTTTAACAACTGCAGTACTATGTTAAGGGTTACTTGATGCTTTAGAATGTTGTATTACTGTAGTATTAGCATAAAGTGCTTGTCTACGGTAGTTAAGTCATTTTTTATAGCCAAATCCCCACCGATCCAATCGTGAAATCCTTATATCTCATCATGTAATCGATATCGAAAACGGCGACATCAAGAGGGATTCCAGCGTTGCGCATTGTTTGAATCACTGATTCCGCCTCGGCCAAAGACTTGTAACCATAGCGGCAAAGCTGGAAAAAGATATTTCTGTACTGTAAGATATTTGAACAATTAACCTGATATCCCAACGCCCAGTATGGTGGCAAAAAGGGTTTCCCGATGAAATTGTAGTACTGTGTGATGACATCTTCGGGGGTTGGCCCAGGGAAGAAATACATGTCCAAATTGCCGCCAATCGTTCGATAGATGAGCCCAGGCGCCGGCAGGGTTGTCACGTCCTGGAACAAGTGATCATATCATCAAATTACAGTACGCTAATTCGTTTTCTAAAAGACATCTGGCTAGTTTAAGGGTCTTTTGAATAGGTAGTCGAGCTCTAACTAGGGAAGGGCACTAGGTTACTGTTTGTTTTTGTTGGATTTCGAAACGAGACTTATAGTTAGCTCATTCGATAGAAAATTCAATCCGAAGCTGTAAGCAAAATCTGCGGAAGAGATTTTTGAACCTAAAGCTCTTGGGTCGAGTTTAAAATAGCTCATTCTGCGGCAGTTGTGGTGTAATGGATAGTGCAATGTTCTACGAACAAATTGGCTCCTTTTGGTGTGGTGGGTTCGGATCCCCATCCAATTCTGTTTTTTGATTTCCCTTTTTCACGATGATACAGAACTTTTAGAAAACGAGTCAGCTCTACTTTACAGTTCTTTGGCTGAACACTCACCTGTGCATTGCTGTTTAAGATGAGCACTCCATGTGCGTTCCCCTCGGGTTCAAGCACCATATAGAAGGGTTGAACACCTAGGATATTTCGTTTAGAAGTTGGATATATAGGCAGTCAGATCCGCGAGGTTCTTTTTAGGCACTGTACAGACTAGGAGCCGGGTTACGGTAGCCCGATTACTGTAGTCTGGTTACAGTAGCAAGTACACAAGATTATTAAGTACCGTATAGATTCTTTGTGTCAAGACTGCCGCTGTCTGGCGGCTCGTCCCGGGCGAGCATTCCCCAACGGAGATACCGGGTGAAGTCATGCTAAAAGAAAATGGAAATTCAAATTGAGAAAAAGCTCTTACATTGATTTGTTTATGAATGTTCTCTCCCCATCCGTACATGAATTTCGACGGGAGATAGGTGGCGATTTGGATGAAACGATCCGTGAAGATGAGACCGCCTGAAAGAAAAGATAAAGAAAAGATCAAGAAAAGATCAAGTAATTTGAAATACAATACGAAAAAAACTGAAATCTTTGATAAATCTTCAATTTTGCAACAATTTGAAAGTTCTAGAGTTCGAAAATCGTTTAGTTTAAACAAGTTTTTGCATCAACAAACGCAAAACCGTTTGACGAAACTGTAAAACTGACCAATGCTCGTGTCGAACAATCTTCGGCCATTGCTTTGCCGTTGCACTACGAAAGAGAAAGGATCGCTTTTGTCGTTCACTTGAAGCGTTAGAGAGTCCGTCGAATCGACTGCGATTTTCGGGAGATCAACTGGTGGATCGTATCTGGGAATTTTCATGTACTTTGCAAACACACCCTTTCTAGCGCATTTGCTTCTTCATTCTTCCCGTGAAACCGATTTTTACAACAAGAAAAATGAAGAACTCGGTGAAGCTAGGAAAGGGGGCACGTTTACACGAGCAACACGAGCACAAAGTGCACAAACCTTCCATCTTTGCCGATCTTCACATTCAGCACTTTGCCGATCGACTTCACGACCATTTGAATCTGCTGGATGTCGGTGTCCCACGGAGATTTGGGGCCATCGTTTTTCTAGAGATATCGAAAATAAGGTTAAAATCTTTACTGCTAATTTAACAACTCTAAAAAAGATGAATGCAGTGCTATAGACTATTATTATGGGCTTCTCTTGGTTAAAAATTAACTAGGCAAAATATTGGTTAAAGGACGGTTAATAGATTTGTAGGCAGAACAGTCAATATCTTCAATTTTCTCTTGTAAGCTCATTTTTTACTATAAATAATCGCGGAAATATTTATTTTCATTTGTTGATTTTTACGGGTAGGCTCCTTCGCAAATTTTTTTTTCGCAACTCGCCATAACTTTCTCCTAAGTCGGTCAATCTTTATGATTTTCGTTTCATTTTGTTGCACTTATTGAGATCGACAAAATGGAATCAAAATCATAAAGATTGGCCAGCTTAGAAGAAAGTTATGGCGAGTTGCGCAAGCGACCCAGTTGCTCAAATGACCCTGTTGCGCAAAAGAAATTGCGGAAATTAGCCTACCCCCAATTTGACGTTATTTTACGTAAAATCGCCAAAGACTACGCTGGATGAAGGGAAAACGCGCGAAAGGGGAGCATTTCGAGTGAAAAGTTGCGCCAAATTTTTTTTGCGCAACTAGGTCTTTTGCGAAACTCGCCATAACTTTCTCCTAAGTCGGTCAATCTTTATGATTTTCGTTTCATTTTGGAGATCTCAGTAAGTGCAACAAAATGGAATCAAAAATTATAAAGATTAGCCGACTTAGGAAAGTTATGATGAAGAAAGCCAAACTCTATGCATTATGCTAAGCAGTACTATGTATTATTCTATTCTTCCATATACTATTCAATCTACGAGATACTATAGATTACAGTACTTTCCCTTTCTATAGATTACAGTATACTTACAGTATAATTCCCTTTCTTACCATTAACGTGTAGTTGTTCCCGTTCTGCGCGGTGACTTTATAACCGATCTTGTCTGCTTTCTGGATACACCATGGGAGAAATGAGTCACTCTGAAGAATAGATTTCAATTTTAACAAAACGATATACCATATTCTCTCTAATAGTAGTGCATCCTGAGCCTTGCCTAAATTGTTCGAAATCTCGAAAACCACTTATCAGAACCTATCGATGTGGGGTCGGAAAATGTAGCTGACGATGAGATCTAGTGGGGGATTTGAGGGTTGAGCTTCTGTGAAAAGTTTGAAAGCCGTAAAATAGTCATCAATTCGGCTCTGCGGGGTGTACTACTATTAGAGAGAAAACGATTTTAGAAATCTAAAAGATCAGCTTTCTAAAACTCGAATAATTTTACCGATTGCAACTCGGACCAAACGCATCCGCGAGCCTCGCAATTCTGTTGGCTTGCATCTTTCTCCGGATGGCAATCGAATCTAAATCTTTTTATCTTTCAAATTTGCATTTAACGTTTTGCGTTCAACTTTTCCATTAAAAACTAATTCACTATATTTACAATACCTTTTTTTGTCTGCATCAGAGAGATCACCGAGAGCGATTCCGAATAAAATGATGGTCAACACCCAAAGTTTCATTCTAAAATCGATTACAATTGAAAAAAAAAAAAGAAATGAAATTACAAACAAAACATAAATAAGTTATGAAAAGCGTCTAGTTTTGCACTTAAAAAGGTCTACTTTATCTGATAAAATTGACGATGGAATGAGGCAATCAAAAGCCTCAGTTAATGTGATCAAAATTGAGCTGATTGAATCAAAAAATGGATTACGGCTGTTTGTCTAAACGATGGGGAAATGATAGAAACCGTTATTTAAAGAGTATTTAAAGAGATTATCAATATCTTATAAAAAGTATATTTATTCAACACGGAATAATGAATTATAATATAACGGAGGAAATTTTTACCCCTAATTACTCCTATTACCCCAATGTTGTTAAGAAAAAACCTATAATAATGGGAAAAAAAGCACAATCTTTCTAGCCGCCGGGGATCGAACCCTTAACCCACCGACTAGGAGACAAGACTCCTATCCGGTCGGCTACGACGGAAAAATGGATTACGGCTGTTTGTCTAAACGATGGGGGAAACGATAGAAACCGTTATTTAAAGAGTATTTAAAGAGATTATCAAGATCTTATGATGAAATCTTTTTTTGATTACTTTAATTAAAAAGCATCAACGCATCAAATGATGACAATTTCTTCAAAAAAAAAAAAAAAAAATTCACGTGGTTTCAATTGGGGGAAATTCTCGCAAGTAAAATCAAATTTTCACGTTTTCACGGAAATCTCTCAATTTTAATAGACTCCATTTATGGCCCATTGGTGAATTTCTACAATTGATAAGCTTTTGGCTTCGGGGAATTTTTGGGAGAGTTAATGGAATTTTTCTTTTTGAAGTGAAAAGCACATGTTAGACATGTGATCGAGGAATTTTAAGGCTTTTGATTAAAGCAAAAATGCAATCAACAGGTTGTTAGAGGTAAAAAAAAAAATTGATCCTCGGCTTTAATTAGAGCTAAACTTTTAAAAGAACTCGCAAACTTATTAGCCTATCTTGGAGAGAAGATTTGCTACTAATTTAACAAATTAGAAAACTTCGCTGTGTTTACTTTTTTTTTCAGTTAACCTCAAAAGACAAACTTTAAAAGAAAAAGAAATGGCAACAGCTGTCTCGGTGTTTCAGCGCCAAAAAAGTGTTTGTTTTGGTGGGGCAATTAATTGAGGAAAAACAATCTTGACCATTAAGGTTACTTTGTGCTCGAAAATGGTAAACACATTATTTCTGATGCACTCGATTCACGTACTTTTAATTGTGGATTCTTAAATGCGGTTATTTTAGGGGTACTTTGTTTTCTTAAAAAAAGAATAATTCAGAATCCGATTTAAAAACGTTAATTGGGGTAGTGTTGATGTTGTTGTTGTTGATGTTAATGTTAATGTTGATGTTGTTGTTGTTGTTGTTGATGTTGTTGTTGTTGTTGATGTTGTTGTTGATGCTAATGTTGATGTTGATGTTGTTGTTGTTGTTGTTGATGTTGTGGTTGTTGTTGATGTTGTTGTTGATGCTAATGTTGATGTTGATGTTGTTGTTGTTGTTGTTGATGTTGTTGATGTTGTTGTTGATGTTGTTGTTGATGCTATTGTTGATGTTGATGTTGTTGTTGTTGTTGTTGTTGTTGTTGTTGTTGATGTTAATGTTAATGTTGATGTTGATGTTGTTGTTGATGTTCTTGTTCTCGTTGTTGCTGTTGATGTTGATGCCATAAAAAGAACATCATTAAAATAAAATATTTATGTACAAGAATATATAATATATTTACAGATATGATACTCTACTTTCAAAAGCTTTAATTTCCTCTAAAAGTCTTTGCTTTTTGATGATTCTGAGCTTTTTTGGGTTGTTGATCAGTGTTGATTTCCTTGAATTGCTCATCATTCGACTCATTCGACTCATCGGAAATGTCCGAAAGGGACATCGCTGCTAGAGTTGCGCCTTTGCCTGCAACTCGTTATGTTTGATCTAATTGATGCAATTTACCCCTAGCCACATCCTCATAAAAGCATCCAAGCATTTGATCAAAACGGTGATAGCAGGCTAGATAGGTCAAATCGAGTTGAGTGACTTGACCAGGCCTCTAAAATGATCTCTTTTACGATTGTCCTGATCACAAACCTGATCACAGAAAGCTAGACATTTTTGACCGGCAAACGTCGTGCCAACAGCCGCATTCTTGCAACACTCGCGATGATCTCGACCCTGAAAATACCCCTTTTTTTAGATCGAACTCATTGACGATAGGACACATTTCAAACAAGAAATTACTTTTCTTTTCACGCTTTCAACCTTCAAGCGTTAGTTAACTTAATGTAGATTGAGAAATTATTATGTTCTAGATCAAAGGACTCACTTGAGCAGCGCAGAAGTGAATATCGGCAGCGGCTTGTGATGGGCATGTGTCTAATTTGAAGTACATCGTCTATAAAATTTGGCATTACTGATTGTCTTTTTCGATTCGACGATTGACTTCTTTCACTTTTCTCAATCAAGTTTTTAAAAGTCATTCATCTCTTAGAACCTATTAAAACCTATTAGAATCTATTAGGATCTATTAGGATCTATTAGAACCTATTAGGATCTATTAGAACCTATTAGAATCTATTAGAATCTATTAGAATCTATTAGAACCTATTAGAATCTATTAGAATCTATTAGAATCTATTAGAATCTATTAGAATCTATTAGAATCTATTAGAATCTATTAGAACCTATTAGAATCTATTAGAATCTATTAGAATCTATTAGAACCTATTAGAATCTATTAGAATCTATTAGAATCTATTAGAATCTATTAGAATCTATTAGAATCTATTAGAATCTATTAGAATCTATTAGAATCTATTAAAGTAAGCACTCACTCTGATCGAATCTTTCGTGTACGTCGAATAGGAACACTTTGTGAGACAAGCATCAGGTAGATGACGACTTTGGCAACAATGAGAGAATTTCTCATCTGGTGAGAGGCGCATTTGATCGGACTGGAAAGAAAAGGTACTTATTTAGAAGTATTTAGCAACAGTATGCCCAAAATGTAAACACTTTTATTACCTGTTCGGGTATTCGGAGAGTTTTTGAGGAGTGAGCCCGAGTGGCTAGTCGATAACATCCATACGATCCACACCCGTATCCAGGTCCACATCCACCGCCGCACGACTGCAAAAGGGAATGGTAAAGAAACGTCATTAATGTAGCTACAGTACCGCTTCACTGAGTGCTGTTACTGTAGTTGGAGCCTACTGTAGTATAGCCGATTAGTTATTCAAGTTTACTGGGATAACCTGTGATAGATCTAACTCAAATTAGAAACGGCAGTACAGATGAGTAGTAACCGTTTCTTAAGACGTGTCCCCTTTCCCCATTCTACCGTAATCTTGTCTCTAATTTTTATCCAATCTATCCACTTTTTGGCTTTAATTTTATGCGAATACACAAAGAATATCGAAAGATAAAAAAAGAGACAAGGTTACGGTAGAAAGAGAAAAGGGTCATTTTTTAGGAAACGAATTTTAAAACGTACTGGCATCGGCGGTGGCACGTATCCACCACCACATCCACCGGCCATTCCACAGACACCCGCCGACAAACAACCAAGTGATGTCTCGAGTAAAGCGGTCAAGATAAGCAATGAGGACATGACGAGAAATTTTTTGGTTTACTTGTAAATTCGAGCTTTATATACACTTTTCCTCGAGAAATTTCAGGGAACTTTCTTGAGAATGATTGTGAGTCATGGAGGTCAGTGAGAAAGAGAGAAAATGGAAAATGGAGATGCTAACAATGAGACAAGGATTGCTTTGTTCAGGGGAAATGGAGAGAATTTTAGGAAAAGGGAGAAAATGGAATGAATCAGCTCTTGGAAACGATCTTACTGTTGTAAAAGTCGAGGTTGGGTACTCTTTTGTACCAAGACTGGCTCTGGAAATTTGCATTTTTGAACTTCGGACTTTCATTTGATCCAATTCCTAAAAGTGTCTCCAGTTTTTATTTTTAACAAATAACAAACTTTTTATTTTTCAAACAAACTCAACAACATAACAAAAACAACAATAACAAGAGAAATGGCTGAAACTTAGACTAATTTAACATCACTTTTTATTCTTCTTCATCAACATCAAAGTAGCGTTCCTCGGACTCTTCATCTTCATCATTCTCAAATTCTTTCGCCGCATTTGGATTGGTTGTATTTGCGCACCTAAAATGAGTTTAGTGAGTGGGATGCAGTGGATAAATAAATCTTGACTCTACAGTAACTATTCTACTAGAATTCGAGTAAAGTATTTATTTTTAGATCTGCAGCCTCTGTTTAACGTTGAAAATCAAATTTAGCCAATATAGCTTGCACAAACCTCCCCGGCAAGTGACATCTTTCACACTTGTGGCAATGACGATAGCTTTGCTTCACACATCGCATACACGGGGCACAATGTTTGTACGGGGTTCCATCCTAAAATTTCAGACATAATTTATGAATGCAGACATCTTAACCGTAACTTGTGCAAACTACTGCTAAAACTCACCAATGAAGTACATTTCATGCACATGAAGCAGTGCTTATTCGTATCGTGCACCCAAAACTCGCAATAGTCGCAAAATCTAAAGCAATAGAAGACATAAATACAATCTTAAAAAATACTTGTAACCATCATGTCCCTTCAAATCAATCTTCTGCAGCGGGATATTTGTGAAGAAACGGACGCTCGTTCGATTTGGCTTCGAAAAGGCCCTGTGATTCGAATATGTAACCTAAAAATATTAATGAAAGTGTTAATCTCAATAAAACAAACCCTATAATCGTGCACCGCAAAATCCTTGTATGCGTGGAGTACCCGTTTTCCAACGTACAACGGCAACACGAGAATCGAATAGAAACCTTTGGCCGGGTTTGATCTAAAATACAACTTGTAACTGTAGAAATGACGGAAAGTATAAAGCTCAAAATTTTAAAATCAAAACTTACTCTGCAGTTGAACTTATGAACTCTTCTTTGATCAAGTCTAAACTTCGAACCATCGGCTCAACGAGAACGGCAAATGGTGGATCACAGATAACAAGCAATTTTCCCGAATTTTGTAGAAAGTCGGTAAACTAAATCATTGATATAATACACGCTAATCGTTAACCTTTCTGCCTACCGTTAACTGCCAGAAAAATTTACCTTAATTCAAGGTTCTAAAACCCACCCTCTTTTTGCTCAATCGATCATAGAAGTGATGCGTTAACAGGCTGTATTGTGCAAATTGGTTCTTCTTGTAGAAAGCGCCCTAAAATATGGCAATTGGCAAAATCAAAATAGGTCCCGCTGCAGTCCGGGAAACCCACATATCGTTTATCAACGTCTAACAAAAAGAGCTGTTTCTCGCTTTTCTCCGCACGAAACATTTCCATCAGAGTTGGGCAGCCTGAATTTAAGCATTGAAACTAGTTATAGTATTTTAGCCTTAAAATTGATAAATATAGGATTTAGAAATAATACTAATACATATCACATCACTTACCTATGAAAAGTATCGAATCAATATCCAGCGAAGCAATAATTTCCTGCAAAACTCCAGTCGACTCGTCGGAGAAGAAATATTGCTAAAAATCGCATAATCATTCCAGTTTTAAGTGCTTTAACACAACTTTAAATATAAAAAAAACTTACTGCTTCTCCCTTTCCATCTTTTAGCGTTTCGAGAAGCTTCGACGGTGTCTTAACGATGCTTCGTTTAATGAACTGACAATCCGCGTGCTCGTGTGTCCCTGGGAAAACCTGAACGTAACAAAATTGAATAAGGTAATCATTTTTAGCCATAGAATACCCTATTTTATGCAAATTTACTATGTAAAACAATATTTTCCTTACCGAAAGACACTCTTTGCACCAAACGATTTTCTTATCCTTGGGAATCGCTTGCAACCTATAAATTTTCAGTTTAAAAGAGATAAATTTTAAATATCAACCTTTTATTCACATTGTTGTAGAGGAGTTTTTGCTTTTTCTTTTTTGGCGGAAGATTTTCCGGATTCAAAAGCGCTCCCGTCTCATCAGCTTCCTCTTTGAAAGGACACTTTTCTGGGTTATCTCTAGAACCTTTGATTTAAATAATAAAATTTAATCTCACCGATAAACAGCACAGGCGAAGAAACGATGAGAAATCTCTCCATTCTCCGTTTGACCAAAGAAGAGGCAAGGACCTAAAAGACTCAAATTAGCACCATAGCTTAAAGTCAAAACGTACCATGTGAACACTGCACAGTTTGTGCACCTTCTGGAGTATCAAGAAACGCGAAATTCCCACGCTTCCTCAACGCACTCGACTTTTCCTTGTTTTCGGGCCACCGCTTTTTGAAGATCTAGAATAATATACAATCTTCAGTCAAATACTTGATGTTTATCGTATACCATCCCCAATAAGTCGATAAGAATTCTAATTATCACCTTTCCTTTGTTTGGCCTTTTCATTTTCGGCGTTTGTTTCCGTCCATTTTTGTACTTGGCAGCCATCTAAATCTTATCGTTTACATCACTTGCCAAGTATTTTAAAATATTTCCTTTGCTTTAACAACTTTCTGTGCATTTTCTTCTTTAGTAACTTTATTTCTGTCATAAAATCTCTAAATTCTCCTCAAAATACACACAAAAAAAGGTAGACCACTAGGTCAATTTTTCGTGAAAAACATGAAAATAGTAGATACAATATAAACTAAGCAATCCTAATTCAAAAATGAAATTTACAAAGAGAAAAGCATCGAAAAGGCTTTAGTGATTCCGACGTCGTTCGTGTTGAAATGAAGAAGACCAGCGATGAGAAGAGCCGTCAACAAGTACGAAGTCATTCGAGAAGCTTTTGCTAGTCCCTAAACAGGAAATGTTATTTGTATGAGATAGTTTATAGCTAATGTTAATCGGCGATAGCATCGAAACCACAGTAATAACGGATTTTTGTAAAATCACAGAGCAAAATTAATGCTTCAATCTCATGATAGTTAACTACTTTTTAATTAAGAAAAAACTCACCGCTCCAATCACAAAAGGTCGAGCGTAATCGGCAATAACTGCTTGAACACCCCTAAAAAAAGAAATTAAAAGACAGTTTTTAGCAACTTCAAGCTTTTAACAAAATGAAAACCAAAACAAGCTTACCAGTGAATGTGAAGCGACAAAGCGATCGTTAAAACGGCATCCATCACTGGCCCGTGGATGAAATAGGCGGCAGGGATCACTGGCAACAGTCCGGCGGCCCAGATGCGCTCATACTAAAGAAAATAACGTTTAGCGTCTTATAAAAAAACAAAAAGAAACGGATCTAACTTTCTTTCATCTTGAAGCAATTATTTAGATGTGTTTTTATCTTCTAGAATTTTAACTTGCACCAGAAATGTCAAACCGGGGAGATTATTAGGTTGGTACATAAGCCTTTACATTTTTTTCAAACTTTTGTTTCCATGGAAAAGAATCCTTGACCAAATTTTTTGCGTCCCAAATTATTAAAAAGGTCTATCATTTCTCTAAAAAATGGCTTTAGAGAGAAAGCTCAAAGCTCGCCTTAACTAAAATAATTTTCGTGTAAAATTTTCAATTGCCGTTTTAAAGAAAATAGCTGGACGGATCGTTTTCAAATTTTAAAGATTTATTTAATCAAATAAGCTCTATCTTTTTACTTCGCACCAAAATAGGTTTATTTTGAAGAAAGTGTCCAAATCTCGACTTCGCCATGGGAGCAATTGTGGATGCTCGCCTTTGAGAATTTACAAAAACAATTACTTCCAAGTACTTCCCAAAAGTCATTTTTGCAGAGAAACAATTAACCTTTTTTAATAGTTCAAATAGAAATTTTTGTTGGTGGCGGCATTATTTTTAAAGGATGTTGAGAAAAAAATTGTAGACTTATGCACCAACCCAATAGCCAGTTTTCCATGTTATTTGGCTATTAGTACGCTTGATTAAACAAATTTAAAACCAAACCTTGAAATGTGTCGAGAAATCCTGGGTTTTACTGGCGCCATCGTTGAGGGTGGTTGTGGTTCGAATTGGGACGGAAATTCGAGGAGCGACCCGGGCGAGGAGAATCGCCTTCTGTAGTCGGGTGACGCTTCGGAGTGGAAGTGACATCTAAAAAAGCGAAATTTTTATCTGGAAAAGGAATTAATAGCAAGGAAAACAATTAACAAAATCTTAAAAAAATTGCGAGTACCGTCAAACAAATTAGCTCAGGACCTTTGGTCTAGGGATTTAGATATCAAAAATCGGTCCTGTAAACGTTTTAAAATCCTAAACAGAAGTAAAACCATCGCAAAAAGTATGGAGCACCTTCGCCCCATGAAAAACCGGGTGCAAGTACGGTGGAAAGAGTGCGTTTTCTTTCAGCTAAATATCCGCAATTGTCCCACTCTCATAAAAAATATTCAGTTGTTGGCCTCAATACTTTTGAATTTTTACTTTTTAAATCTCTTATAAATACTTTTTAAAATTCTCTTTTTTCCTCCTTCAATAACAAAATATTCAATTATTTGACTACTCGCTCCGACTAAAAAGTCTTTAAAATGCGCGAAAACTTTGCTTTCGTTGTTTTATTATTTGCAACAAAGCCTATTTGCAACGAAAATTTGAACAATGTCTGCAAGAAAGCTCGGCCGGAACAATAATAGCAATTCGGTGAAACGTGTGAAAGCAAGTGAAGCTGTGGTTGCCGACCCGGATTCCTCGTTCGTCAGCGATTCGTCAATTCCACCCACGCCAACAAACACTCCAATCAGCAAGGGAATGCAACGCTCAACATCGTTGAACTCGGTCGGTGGTCGCAAACGCAAGCATGCCGACAACTCCAACCAATATCATCGCTATCTACTTAAGGTATCTTTTTGTCTTATATTATTCGGGTTGAATAATAATAAATGGTGTTGTAGATTGGTCCTAATTTATTGTTTTACCATCATTAGGAGTTTCTAAACTGCTAGATAGTGGAAGTTAGATCTTTTTAAGATTCTCATTCAAGAGTTTGAGATGTTTTCCTAGTTGAGTCTACTCTTGTAATCCAGTAGTCAATAAATAGGTGGATTACAAGTTGCTAAAGTAAAGTGGCGATTCTCATGTTTTTTCTCTGTAAACCAGCCACAACGCTTAATAATTTGTTGTTTTTAGGTTCTCAAGTTGTTGCATCCGGAAATCGGCTTCAGCGTGAAAGGAGCCGAGGTGATGAATGCTTTGATCGTTGATACGCTGGACAAGTTGGCAAGTGAAATTGTGCGTTTGCGAGAAGCCGCGAAAAAGAAGAAGAAGATGGTGACGGCAGTGGATATGCAAGCGGCTGTTCGACTCGTTTTTCCGGAGGTATTTGCTCGACATGCAATCATTGAAGGCACCAAGTCTCTCGAGAAGTATCGTCGATCTCTTAAATCTTAAAGAATTTAAGCATTGTTGTTGTTGTTGTTATATTTTTTTCATTTCTGTTTTTGCTCTTTATTTGTTGTCACATGTTGACCCTTTCGAATAAAAATGTTTTTTTTGGAGATATGACGGTGGAACGGGAGAAAGGAGTGACGTTGGACGAGAAGTGGCGGCTCGTGCCGGCCTTTTTGAAGGCATGTGTCATTTTCTAATTTGGTTAAAGCAAGAGGTCAATTGTAAGCACAATTGTGCATTTTTAAATACAAGCGAACTAGCATTAAAAAGTTGACAGCTCGAGGAGTAGCGTTGTAAATGTTTCGGTCTTAGATTCGCGGCCTCGTCAAACAGCATCTCGTTTCTTTTGATTACTTCGTCAACGAGGAAATCAAGCTCATTCTACTCTCGAATCAGAAGATCACCAGCGATGCGAATCCGAACTTCTACTTGAAGTAGGCTTTAAGACAATTAAAGAATACCTGAACGGAATTGAAACCAAGTCATGGTTTAGATATTTGGACATTCGTGTTGGTCAGCCATCCAGTGAAGAAGGGTTCAATCAAGTTAACGAGAAAATAACACCGCAGGAATGTCGGTTGAGGTAGTAGGAGTGTTGTATTGCTTGTTACTTTCTTTTCTAGGGACATGACGTATTCTGCTCCAATCACCGTTGATGTTGAGTATACGAGAGGAAATCAGCGCGTCGTGAAGAGGGATTTGTGCATTGGGCGAATGCCGATTATGTTGCGATCGAGCAAATGCATTCTCAAAGATTTGGTAAGAAAGCAGGAAAAAATTTCTTTGATTTTACTTCCCCACTTCAGGAGGAGGAAGAGCTTGCTCGTGTACAAGAATGCCCACATGATCCCGGAGGTTATTTCATCGTCAAAGTAAGCTTGTTCCTCTCATTTTATTACGATCAATTTAGGGATCGGAGAAAGTGATTCTCATCCAAGAGCAGCTGAGCAAGAACAGGATCATGGTCGGCCTAAATTCGAACAAGGAACTGCAATGCGAAGTGCGTTTTGAAATGATGGTCTTTAATATATTCGTCTAGGTCCTTTCATCCACAGCTGAACGAAAGTCGAAGACGTATGTTTTGGTGAAGAAAGGGCGCTATTGGCTTCGACACAACCAACTCAGCGACGATATCTCAATTGCCATTGTTTTTAAAGTTGGTTTTGTTGTTTGCTGGGTGTTACAGATGATTCTAGGCTATGGGAATTTTGTCAGACTTCGATATCATATCAGCTGTTGGACGTGAGGAACGTTTCGTCGACTTGTTCACACGAACTATTGGTAAAAGCTTTACTCTTAGATAGCGTAATTTTTACTCTTGAAAATCTTGTTTTAGAGGACACCCAGCTGCAGCAAATTTTCACTCAACAACAAGCGCTTGCTTACATTGCTGCAAAGGTGAGTGTGTTGATCAAATCATAAATTCTACTTATTTTAGGTGAAAGTTCGTAAACCATTTGGAGTCTTTGGGGCCGCCGCACAAGCAGCAATGGTAGAAGTGACTGCGAAAGATCACGAAGCACTCGACTTCCTATCGACTAGCATGTTGTGCCACGTTCCTGTTGTCAACGGAGACATGAAGATGAAAGCAATTTATCTTGGACTGATGTGCCGAAGGTTGTTCTTAAAAAAATTATTGAAGGTGATTGTGGTTTGTGAGTAGGGATCTTTTTAGATTGATCATGGCTGAACTTGGCGAAAGTGAACTTGATGACAGAGACTTCTACGGAAACAAACGGTTGGAGCTTGCCGGTTCTCTTCTTGCTTTACTTTTCGAGGATGTTTTCAAAAGGTAAATTGTAATAAGTGCTGATATCATTGAATATATTTTAGATTCAATAGCGAACTTAAAAGAATCGCGGACAATTCGCTCAACAAAACTTTAGCAGCACCATTGGACATCGTGAAGCACATGAGACAAGTAGAGTTGAGTGACAAATACGCGTAACAAATTTTCAGGACTTGATAACGAATACTATTGTCAACTCACTGTCTACCGGAAATTGGATCATTAAAAGGTTCCGAATGGAAAGACATGGAGTTACACAAGTAAGCTTCGAAAAAAGTATTCGTTGTAAAAAGTATTCGTTGTAATTTAGGTACTATCTCGACTTTCCTACATCTCAGCGCTTGGCATGATGACAAGAATCAATTCTACGTTTGAGAAAACAAGAAAGGTAGCTGGACCTCGTTCTCTTCAACCATCACAATGGGTACGGTAAAACTTTTGCAAATAAAGTATTATCATTGTATTTGTATTTTAGGGAATGTTGTGCCCGTCAGACACGCCCGAAGGTGAGAAGCTCAGATAAAGTTATTGTTGCAATTGAATTTGTTTAGGAGAAGCTTGTGGACTGGTGAAGAATTTGGCCTTGATCTCGCACATAACGACGGATTGTGATGAACGAGTACGTAGTGAATGATGTTTAAACGCTAAAATTACTTTAGCCCGTTCTCCGCCTCCTTTACAACAGCGGTGTCGAGGATTTGCAAAGAGCTCACTTCAGTCACATTCATGATGCGTACGTTGATAAAGCACAACTTTTATTTATTACATTTAGGCACTATCATCTGATTTTCCTTAATGGCCAACTGGTAGGTTCAACTGTAGACCCAGTGAGGGTTGTGAGCGCTGTTCGGGCTCTTCGACGGAGTGGTTTCTTCAGTGAATTTGTTTCGGTCTCAAGGTTAGAGCTGACTTCTTGGCAAAGATTATCTCCTTTAGGTCCTTCACACAACGCAGTGTCTTTATCTCTTCAGATGGTGGTCGTTTGTGTCGACCCTACATCATTGTTGAAAATGGCCAACCTTTGGTGAAACTAAAACACATTGAGGTTAGTCGAATAGCAAGCAATTAGATCAAGTTAAATATTTAGGACTTAAAAAATGGTCTACGAGTGTTTGAGGACTTTGTTGTGGAAGGATTGATTGAGTAAGACTCTTTTTGTTATACTAAATCAAGCGTTGAATAGATATCTTGACGTGAACGAGATGAACGATGCTTTGATCGCCATGGTTTGTTAACTTTTCATATTCACAACAAGTCATAGGCACAACATTTTCTCTTTTCTTTTAATCGCGTATATATTTCATGTGATGATAAACATTTGGATTTGATCGTGGATTTTTTGTCGCTTACTAATCAATAAATTTCAGTACGAAAAGGATATCCACGAGAAGACAACACATTTGGAGGTTTTAACTAATGATAAGGTTATTTAACATTGATCTTTGAGATTGAGCCGTTTACGATTCTGGGGATTTGCGCCGGCTTGATCCCGTATCCACATCACAATCAGTCGCCGAGAAACACTTATCAGTGCGCTATGGGTAAACAGGTAAATTAAAGCTAAAGTAGATTTACTCATTGAAGTTTAGGCAATGGGAACGATTGCTTACAATCAGCAGAAGCGAATTGACAGCATTATGTATCTACTTGTTTACCCACAAAAGCCGCTTGTCAAAAGCAAGGTAAAGTTTTGCAGCTATTTAGAATTTAAGGCGAATTTAGACGATTGAAATCATCAACTTTGAAAAGCTTCCAGCTGGTCAGAATGGAATCATTGCTGTTATGGTTGGTTCAAGTTTCGCTGTTCTTTTATAGAAAGTTTAATTAGTCATACTCGGGTTACGATATTGAAGATGCGACCGTGCTCAACAAGGCTTCTTTGGATAGAGGTGAGATGCTTAACTTTTGCTTTTCGTACTTAAAATTTTAGGTTACGGACGTTGTCTAGTCTACAAGCACGCAAAGGGAGCAATTCGCAAATATCCAAATCAAACGTCGGACAAGTTGATGGGACCGAGTATTGAGGCTGGGTCGAGGAAAATTGTTTGGAAGCACAGGGTGAATAAAATTTTTAAAAATCATAATAAAACTAGCTAATTTAGGTTCTTGATCAGGAGGGAATTGTTTTTGCGGGCGCCAGAATCGAGAACAAAATGACGATGATCAACAAACACATGCCGATAATTCACCAAGCAAATGATCAGACGCCGGGTATAAAAGAAAATGGAACAATCCCTTTGAGTCTGGAAACATGCGTTTCAGGAATGGCTAGCGCAACACCATCAGGTCGTGACGTTGAATACAAAGATGTGTCGATAGGTTTCAAAGTGGGTCCACGCTCTTTGCAGCTACAAATTTCTCGTTTAGGGTTTGGTACCATCATATGCTGAAAGGGTCTTGCTTACTTCTAGCGAAGATGAGGGGCATTTGATTAAGATTTTGTTACGACAGACACGGTATTTGAATCTTTTCTACGGCTTTAATTACTATTTAGTCGCCCGGAGCTTGGAGACAAATTCTCATCACGGCACGGTCAAAAGGGTGTTTGTGGGCTGATTGCGCAACAAGAAGATATGCCATTTAATGACCTTGGAATGGTAAGAGAGTTTCTAAATGCAACAATGTAACTTAAAACAAAAGTTTAGGTTCCCGATCTAATCATGAATCCGCATGGTTACCCATCACGGATGACAGTCGGCAAATTGATGGAACTGCTATCCGGGAAAAATGCAGTGATGACCGGCCGTTTTCACTACGGAACAGCTTTTGGTGGTGATCAGGTAAAGGACAATCGAAGTTTGGATAGATAATTAGACTTACAGGTGAAAGATGTTTGTGACGAGTTGGCTCGCTTCGGCTACAATTACATGGGAAAGGTGAGCTTTATTAAAGGCATCATTAGATTGGATGATTTTAGGACATGTTAACTTCTGGAATCACTGGACAACAACTTTCGGCCTACATCTACTTTGGACCAATCTACTACCAAAAGTTAAAGCACATGGTCTTGGACAAGATACATGCAAGAGCAAGAGGACCAAGGTTTGTTGGATTTTCCAAATGCGTTGTATTTTTACCGTTTAGAGCTGCACTGACGAGGCAACCAACAGAAGGACGAGCAAGGGATGGTGGACTTCGACTCGGAGAAATGGAACGGTAAGTTATGCATTACTTTGAGTTGTGCTCTTGATAGACGAATAGTTATGTTTCTTTTTAGTGATTGCTTGATCGCCTATGGTGCATCGATGCTTTTGATGGAACGTTTGCTCTACTCATCAGATGAATTTGAGGTTGAACTTCATAATACTAAAATAAGACGTTGAAATTTTAATCCTAGAGTTAATGAGGGCACAAGAAATTAAAATTCTATTTTGTTTAGGTCGAAGTTTGCGGTGTGTGCGGTCTTCTCGGCTACAAGGGTTGGTGTCAACGATGTCGCTCGTCAAAAGATTTGGCGAAGATCAAAATTCCATACGCTTGCAAGCTCTTGTTTCAGGTATATTTTAACAAGAATTTATTGGATACGCTGCGAAATCTTATTTTCACCAGTTCTTTATAAATGTTTGACTTTCAGGAGCTTCAATCGATGAACATTGTGCCGAAGATCGACTTGTCGCGACTAACTGATTAGGGTTAACTTTCGCTTTTTGATTGTTGTTAGACTTTTCACATTGTTAACTGTTAAATTTTTATGGTTATTCCGATTTGTTATGTTTTGTTGATTTGTTTTTTGTTACGGAAGTTTAAAAGGATAAATCGAAATTTTTATTGGCAATCGGACGTGAATCCGAACCAGTGAGAAACACAAGTCGTCGAGCCTTTCGCGATGCAATCGGTGTCTGAGTGACACTAAATGGGTATTAAATTGTAAAAGTCAGTAAAAAAAAGCTGGCTTTTAATTAGATTAAATTAGCTTTTACTCACGCTGTGCGTCTCGATGCCGAAAAAGTTGAAGAAGCGCTCGATGACACCCTGAGAAATTTGAGTACATCGTACTGATCACAATGAAACGGACAAGTAAATGGCTTCTGGTCTGGCTTGGCATACAGTGACAACCTTGCCGTACCTTCTACAGTACTCACTGCAAAACATATAGTACGTTAGAATCTGTTTTCCTAAAACGTGTCCATTTCTCTTTTTACCGAATCTTGTCTCTACTTTTTGACTGATTCTGTAAGGGTACACAAAGGGTATCGAAAGGTATAAGAAGTGGATAGGTTGAATAAAATGGAGACAAGATCACAGTAGAAAGAGAAAGGGGGACATGCCTTAGAAAGTTGATAGTTTCTTTAAAGCAAGTCACCCTTTCTTCTTTTTTCTCATCTTTTGTGGTGTTTGAGGCGAACAAAACGAGTGTCTCTGTCTAAAATTTACATATTCTATATGCAAATTTTGGTACCTCATTGATATAAGCACTGATGCCGGGCAGGGTTGTCTAAAACATTTTTACAAAAGATATTCATTTTTGCTACTTTATTAAGAATATTCAGACCACCGATCTTGGTACCCTGAAATGGAAATTTTATCTATTATTTTATCTTTATTCAATTTAAAACCGATTCCCCACCTCTTGCGCGTCCCCGTTGACAGCGGCGAAGAGAAGTGGCTGAAAAGTTGGCATACTATTGAGTACGGCATACTGTAACGGGTTTACGGTAGTTGAGGGCGATTTTTAGCATCGATAACTTTAGGGGAAGTGTAAAGTAAGAGGAAATGGTTGAAAAATGGGAAATCTTTTCGGGGAAATTGTAACTCGATGCTTTTTAGGTGCTTAGGTGCTTTTTAGAACCGATGGTTCTCGAGTTCTGTAAGTCCAAATTTTTTTTGTCTCCCTACACTACCGCTGGGAAAGCTGGCGAAACTGAGTTTCTTTAGCTTTAGTGAAGACTTTGGAAGATTGACTCGAAACATACAGCTGTTGGTGTCACTTCTGCAGTGTCGGCCCGTTTCGTCACCGGAATTAGGCGAACAATCTCCTGAAATCGATTTGTACAGAAGCAAGTGTCTTTCTAGTTATTCACTCACCTCTGTAGACTTTGGCGCCTCTTTTTGGCTCAATCGGATCTAAAGATTTTTAAGAATTACAGCCAAATTTTGATTTCTAAAAGTTGACCTTCAGTAAAAGCTACCGTAACCCTAACCGTAAATATCCGCATTTGTCCCACTCTCTTAAAAATATTCAGTTGTTAGATAGTGGAAGTTAGATCTTTTTAAGATTCTCATTCAAGAGTTTGAGATGTTTTCCTAGTTGAGTCTACTCTTGTAATCCAGTAGTCAATAAATAGGTGGATTACAAGTTGCTAAAGTAAAGTGGCGATTCTCATGTTTTTTCTCTGTAAACTAGCCACAACGCTTAATAATTTGTTGTTTTTAGGTTCTCAAGTTGTTGCATCCGGAAATCGGCTTCAGCGTGAAAGGAGCCGAGGTGATGAATGCTCTGATCGTTGATACGCTGGACAAGTTGGCAAGTGAAATTGTGCGTTTGCGAGAAGCCGCGAAAAAGAAGAAGAAGATGGTGACGGCAGTGGATATGCAAGCGGCTGTTCGACTCGTTTTTCCGGAGGGATTTGCTCGACATGCAATCATTGAAGGCGCCAAGGCACTCGAGAAGTATCGTCGATCTCTTAAATCTTAAAGAATTTAAGCATGGTTGAAGTTGTTGTTGTTTTTATGTTTTGTTGTTGTTGTTCTGTTTTTGCTCTTTATTTGTTGTCACATGTTGACCCTTTCGAATAAAAATGTTGTTTTGGAGATATGACTGTGGAACGGGAGAAAGGAGTGACGTTGGACGAGAAGTGGCGGCTCGTGCCGGCCTTTTTGAAGGCATGTGTCATTTTCTAATTTGGTTAAAGCAAGAGGTCAATTGTAAGCACAATTGTGCATTTTTAAATACAAGCGAACTAGCATTAAAAAGTTGACAGCTCGAGGGGTAACGTTGTAAATGTTTCGGTCTTAGATTTGCGGCCTCGTCAAACAGCATCTCGTTTCTTTTGATTACTTCGTCAACGAGGAAATCAAGCTCATTCTACTCTCGAATCAGAAGATCACCAGCGATCACCAGAAGATCACCAGATAACCCTATGTGGCGAAGAGTAACGTCTAAGATTATTGTAAAACCTTGTGCTTGTTACAGAATTTTTAAAAAACGCACCAATTTCGGTGATTTCAAGTCGTTTTGCAAGCCGTCCGCTTGAAAAAAGTGAAAAAGAAGAAATGGGAAAAGGAAATTTAGCATTTTTTTGTGAAATTGACTAATTGCTTATTTTTTCTGATAAATATTGGAAATGTTTTCTCGGATTTGAAGCAAAATAGCATTCTGAACCATGCAAAGAATCGTCTGGAATCATAATTTCGCGGCCTTTTCCTTTTCCCATTTGAGAAGGGTCCATGACATTACGGTGAAGCAAAATTATAGCCAAATTTAAGGCAAGAATTGATCCCAAAAATTGGGCATAGTGAGCTTTGTGAACCGTGAAACCGGCTCACTCGGCTTTGTCAGCCGTGAAACCAGCAGAAGGAGCCACCGCTTTGTCTAAGGTGAGCTCCTTCTGCGGTAGCTCATTGCTCCGTCTGCTGCTTGATTTGCAGGTGACAAAAGACAGCACCAATCTATTGGGAACGTGTGCCAAATGGAGAGCGATTAGAGAACACGGCGCACAGAGAACACGTCGCCAGTGATTTTCATAGGGATTTCTTCTTGCTTTGTAGATTGCACAAAAAGAAGCTATTCAGCAAAAGAATTTGTAGCCGGGGGTTTTCGGGGTCGACGAATCGATTGCCGCTATTCATTTCATTGAGTCAACCAATTGGAACTCAGGTTTAATTGGTCGAAACTTTTAGAGGAACTCGGCAACTTCTTAGCCTATCTTGCATATTCGTGAAGCAGCGAGCAGCTTTTTTCACCTATGCGTTGCTCTATATCGGGTTACTGTGGCATTTGTTAATTTATCACTTATCAGGCCTGTGATTTGGCCACATTTTAGAGAGCTTACCCGTCTTACGACCACAATAACAGCTAAGTGGGTTTCTGTAGCACTAATTGCATACGGTTACGGTAGTCTGGCCACTCTTTAGAGGGCCTACTCGAAGCACTCTAGCATTTATTAACACATTCACAACGATCCGATCCACCGATGGGCCGTAGTTCGCTATAGTTTAGTTTATCTTTGAATTTCCATCAAATTATCAGTAAAGTGTAGCCAGATTCAATTTCCCCCAAGAAAGTTGCATTTCCGTTCTCGAATCGAATTCCCCATTGAAAATAGGCGTGATAATTGATTGGGGAAGCGAGCGTCCGTTGACCATTTCGTCGGATTGATGGGGATGATTGTGATTGAATGAAAGGGGGGAAAGGGGTAATTCTTCTCTTTCCCAAAAGTTTGTCCCAATTTTCCCTTTCCATATCAATCATCTCTGTCTCTTCTAAACGGTGACCTTCAATTTGCACCTTTTCACTTTTTTTTTTGATCAGCTTTGAGAATAAGTTATGAGAAGCAAGAATAACGTTATTTAAGCAGCTAATTTGCATTTAAAGGTCTTGTAAGTAAGCCTTTTTTTGATACAATACTCCAAAATAAAAAGCAAGCGATCCTCTTAGCTAACTCGTTTTCTAAAAGGCGTCTAATTTCGAAAACTATCGTAGTCCACCTGCCAGTTTTCACTCGATTAGCCCAATTTTAGTCACATTGACTGAGCTTTGCGATTGCCTCATCAAATGTAACCAAAATTTGGCTGATCGAATGAAAACTGGCGAGCGGATTACGATAATTTGGCTAAAATTGAGGTGACTTTTAGAAAGTGCATGAGAGACACACTCAACATGATTACAAAGATACAGTAAAATCCCTATGACTGCTACAGTATCTTCAACCAGAATATCTTGAGCTGAAAATACACATTTAGTGCACCCTGAAAACAAGCAACAAACGCAATTCTCAGCCAAGCTTTCTCTTCTCAAAAAACGGGTAGACGAGATTGGGATCTACGATCTAGAGATCTCAATTTAATGGCTGACAGGAAGAAAAAAAGTTCAGTTTACAGTTTACAGTTTAAAAAGCGAGTCACGAAAGCAAATACGTACGGTCAGAGTACTCTAGGTTAGAGTTGACCCTGCTGCCGATATGACCAATAAAAAGTCCCTAAAGCTAAACCTGGCAAGCCATTGTGACAAGCTGATTGTGGGTCTGGCTCTAGTCTTGCTTACAAAACATAGAAACTTCTGTACTTCTGTCTAAATATTTTTATAGTTATCATTGTAGCCAAAATTTGATGAGGATTCTATTAAAGCCAACCGTAAATCGATCCGATGCCAGTACGTCGAGATATAGGCAGTCAAAGTTGACCGGCTCTTAGGAAAAACCTACAAAAGCCGGTCAACTTTGACTGCTTATATCTCGACGTACTGGCATCGGATCGACTCACGGTTGGTTTCAAAAGAATCCTCATAAAATTTGGCTAGAGAAAAGTGTAGTTTGTTTTTAGAAATACTCTAAGATGTAAGAGTACAAGAGTACAATGTAAGAGTATCTGTCTACCAGTCCCAGGGTTCTAACACTAGACTAAAAAGAGTGTTGTAAGTCTAACTACTCTCACAATTAGCATTGCAACATCAAAACGAGCTTTTAGGCTATAATTTTGACGAGAAAAGGGTAAAAAGGATGATTAGAGATAAGGAAACGAGAATGGAAAGTGGAAGAGATAAGAGGAAAGAAAAGAAATGAAATGAAAACGAAATGCAACTGATGATCTCTCTCTCTCTCTCTCTCTCTCGAAAAGCCTTTCCCCTTGAAAATCCCATCAAAAACCGCGGTTCATTCCCGTTTCCTCCCGAAATTTGTGACTCCGGTTCTCCCTCAAATCAAGCTTTTTCCCTCCGGAAAATACGAAGAATCCTGCTGTGATTTCATTTCTGAAAAAGAAATCCCATTCACGTCGATTTCGAGAGATCTCACTGCAGCAGGCTTTCTCTTTGTTTTCTCTTTTTTTTAAAGACTAAATTCTGAAGATTTTCAAATCAAATCTGTGTTTCTGCTGAATAGAACAGAAAAAAATTTTGATGCGTTTACTCATCTTGCTGGCGCTTTGCGCGAATTTTCTACGAGCAGAGGAGAATTGGAGGGGTGAGTGCTCAGCTTTCGTCTTCATTTCAGCTAACTAACAACGTGCGTACAGACTTCAAGCATTGTTCCATCTACTTTATCTAGCTTTCCTCCCCTGAAACTCAAATCTCTCGACTTCTCTTATCCTTAAGCTAAATAATTAATTTCAAAATTTGAGCCTTTTAAAGAGTTCAAATTAGGAACTTTCTCTTTCAAATTTCAAATTTCTCTTTCAAATTTCAAATTTTCTCTTTCAAATCTTTCAAATTAGGACCCAAATCAAAGTTTTGTCATTTTAAACGAAAAACAAAACTAGTTATAAAGGTTTGATCCTCTTGATTGTTCAATTGATTGTTCAATTGATTGTTCAATTGATTGTTCAATTGATTGTTCAATTGATTGTTCAATTGATTGTTCAATTGATTGTTCAATTGATTGTTCAATTGATTGTTCAATTGATTGTTCAATTGATTGTTCAATTGATTGTTCAATTGATTGTTCAATTGATTGTTCAATTGATTGTTCAATTGATTGTTCAATTGATTTCTCAAAAGTTCCATCAATCACCATCTTTTTCTTTATCGTTTTTCCGATACTTGACCCAAAAAAAAAAATCATATCTGATCTTTAAAAGTGGCGAAAATTTCGTGATGATGCTAAAAATGGAGCGTTTTTTCGAAAGTCTCTGTCTCGAATTTTTCCATTGACCTATTTTTGAGCTTTCATAATCTTTTGGAAAAAAAAGTTGATCTCGTAAAATTCTAAGATCGAAACTTTCAAAATGCAACAATTGCTCGTTGATTTGCCCAACTTTTGAGAAAGATTTCGCAGAAATTTGATTAGATTTGCTCTTTGTCAGTACTTTGGGTATCAAATTTGTAAATGCACCCATTTGGCGCAATGAATTCTTCATTTTTCTTACAGTAAGAAGATCCGATGGGGTACTGTAACTGGGAGAAGTTTTAAAATCATTTTGCACTGGAATTTTCGCACTGACACCACTAAGAACTCTCCAGAAAGGAGATCGCCATTTCCAACAAACTAATAAGAGAAGAAAAGAATTGAGCATGCTAGATAGTGTGTGTTTACAATTCTTGCAATCAATTGTAATGCGTTTTTCAGTGCTGAGACCATGTTTCGAGCGTTACTTGCAAACGAAGCTGGCGAATCTCGAGCCGTTTCACTCGGAGGGACGAATGCCCACAGAGGATCACTGCTTGCGGTTTTGCGCCGAAACAGCTGTAAGTGAATATCGAAAAAAGAATAGTTATATGCAAATTGCAGTCCCGTTGTCGATCGATCGTTTATGAACCATTGCGACATGTGTGCCATTTCTTCCTCGATGAGGGCTCAGAGATGGCTGTACCAGCGCAACATATGTCGTACTTTCGAGTGACCACACAAGAGTGCCTAGGTGAGTTCAGAGGTTAATCAGTTTCAAAAACTAGCCTTGGTCTAGTCAAGATTGACTTGGCTAGACCAAAGGCCAAAGATCAAAGCCTAGACCAAAGGCCAAAGATCAAAGCCTAGACCAAAGGCCAAAGCTAGCAGTAAACCTAGTTTCATGAAAAGCCAAGCGCAACAATGTGTACAACAAATCTTGCAAAAGATTCGTTTGATATGAAAGTAAATCCTGGAAGAGCTAGATCCACCGGCTAGCCAACCAATCTGTATACCCAGCCAGCAATGTGTTCAGCTGGGTCGGCCCTAATTGGGTATAGTAGGATGAAAGTCAAACCAAATAGTCCCTTAAATTTTACACAACTAATTCAATTCACCGGAAAGATAAGACCAAAAAAAAATAGAATGAATTCGAGCTTAATATAAGCAACATTCCAACACAAATTCTCATATCTTTAGATCTATAAGAGCTTGACAACCCATTGCCTAAACCTCACTCATTTCTAGACCACGTGGCCGTTGTGTTAGGGCCGATGGACATCGAGGGGGCACCGGTCGAGTACTCACCGTTGGATGACGCAGATTTGATGAACGGGAAGAGTACTGTAACGGAAAGTGCTGTAACTAGAAAGAGTACGGTAGAAAAGACAAGTGGGGCAACGAGGATGGAGAAAATTGAGGAGACAATTGAAACGACAACCGACAACCGAGAACCCGTTGATCAGGTTGGTAAAGTCTCAGGAAATCTTAGCTGATCGAACACTTTTCACTCTGGGGAAACTGTAGATTACCGTAGATACAATAGTGTACTATTTACAGAGTACTGTAGCCTTTTGAAGTGCATAAACTTTCTAGGAACCGGAATACGAGGAGGAGACTGAAGAGATCACTGAGCCGGCACCGACAACGACAACGGAGAGAAATGAAGAGATGACAACGTTGAGGGATGAGGTCAATGATGGGAATGAGGTGAGAAAACGATTCGTTATGACGGAGCGCTATGGCCGACTGGCTAAGGGCCCTATTTCTTAGTCGAGGGTTCAATCCCATCGGCTAGATGATTGGTCCTTTTTTTCTCTTACATGGGTTTCGCTACATTCAGGGCTTAGGGATTATGCTTCTGTGTTGTTTATTCGTGTGAAAAACCCTATTTTTATACAGGTATTTTGGATTTTAGAACTAATTTTGCATACATAAAACATATCATAACTACACTTGACAATTGGACAATGAAATATCATATTCGAAAAAAGATCGTCACTTTCGCGCGTCTGTAACTCTATTGTCTTTACCGTATTTCTAAATATTAATATTACCATTGTGTAGCCATTGAAAAGAGCTTTCAGAAAATGTATAGTTTAAGCTAATAGTTTAAGCAGATAAGGAACCAAATTTAGAGAGAGGGTTTTCCGCCAACGTTCGCTTTCGATATCTAGAGAAATATCTTTTAGATCTTGCATATAAGCCAGTGAGAATATTACCGTAATCAAGTACTTTAATATTAGTGTATGATCATGATCTACACTACTGAACAATGAAATATGATATTTGAAAAAAAGATCGTCACTTTCGCGCATCTGTAACTCCCTTGTCTTTACCGCATTTCTAAATATTAATATTACCATTGTGTAGCCCTTGAAAAGAGCTTTCAGAAAATGTAGAACACTAATAGTTTAAGCTCAAAGACAAGGGAGTTACAGACGCGTGAAAGTGATGATCTTTTTTCAAATATGATATTTCATTGTCCAGTACTGTACATAACTGACCAATAAATCTTTACGAGTTAGACTCACTTTCGATTTATTCTTTGCGATAAAACCAAATGAAAACTTCTTCTTTTGAATAGGAGAAGTCCCCCCCCCCCCAAGTATAGGAGCTTTTGTGTGCCAAATCTGCAGTAAAACCTGTCCTGATCTTGATTCAGCTGAAAAATCGAGAAAAATCCCATTCATCTGCATTTTAAGGCAGTTTTTCAGATGTCGAAAGAGTTCTCGAAAATGTCGGAGATGATCGACGTGGTTTCGCGGGAAAGCGATGAGAAATCGATGGATACGGTGAGAATAGAGAATAGTTAGCTAATGTGTATTGTAAACGCACTTTTTCTAGCACACAATATTCTCCGCAAATCAATTTCCAGGCAGAAGTTGAGCAAGAGTTGCGCAAGAAAATGCACCAATTGCGCGAGCTTTTCCCGGAGAGATTCGATCAGCTCGTCGGGAAGAAAAGAGGCGATGATGAGGTGGGGTTTTCATTTGAATCTTTAAAGAAATAGATTTTTAGGAAGACGAAGAGATATTAGAGGAGGAACTTCACCCGGCCGAAATGCCGACAACGACGACTACTAAGCCAACGACGACTACTAAGATAAAAGTTCGTTTTATTCTGTTTTATTGCCTTTTTTAGAATGGTAGGGATTCATTGAGATTTTTAGGCAATTGTTCTCGACTCGGAAGATGTTGTGGATGAGTCGGAAGTGGGAAATCTGGATGAAGAGGCGCTCTGGCAAGGCGCCAATCCACAGGTTTTAAAATTTTTAGAGCTCAAATTACCATTTCTACAATGTAATACAATGAAACTAAAGCATAAATGGAAATTCTCAAGAAATTCTCGACTATTTCTCAGCACTTGCCCACCCATCGCCGCTCTCGTTTCTTCAATCAGGCTAAAGTGCTGCAGATATCGAAAGATCGGTTGGAGCCCGGTTTTGGGAAAATAAAGAAGAGAAAAGTGAGTTTGATTTGGAAATGGAAAACTTTTATTTGCTTAATATACGTAAAATTTTTGTTTCCTAAATGCAATTTTGTACTTCTTCTGAGCTGATCTTCACTTTGGACTTACCAAGAGCTGCTCTCGACTTACCAAGAGCTACTTTGGACTTACCAAGAGCTGCTCTCGCTTTCATTTATCAATTTAGATTTATCAATTTAGAAATATTTCAAAGTTACCCTGATTTCTCATTTTTCATTTCACGATAAGTGTTTTGGCTTAAAAACAAGCAATAGAGATTATCGAGAGCTAGATTGAATATATTCATGACGATCGGACCCAATGAGCCGATCCAAAAACTGGGTCAGTGCCTCTAATCAGTGTTCGGTGTTGAACCAACCCTGTGCAGATTCAGAAACCCCTGGACTATCCATTGTTATGTCAAGATATATAATATAACTCTTTATACAACATTGATAATTCAACAAAGATCATGATGTAAGCTTTAGTTCAAAGTGACCGAGGGTGAGCTCCCGGGAGAGATCATCAATTATGAGGGACTGCGGAGAAGTCCGAGCAGGAAAATGGAAAGGGCACAGGTTAGAGATTGAGAATTCGTTTAGAATAAAACCCTATTGTAATCCGTTTCCTAAAAGACATTAATTTTAGACTCCTATCGTAGACTACCGTACAAACTACCACAATCCACTCACCATTTTTTCATTCAATTAGCTCAATTTTGGTTCAATGATGGTTCTCATTCAATGATGAAATCACAAGGCTCAGTCAATATGACCAAAATTGGGCTGATCGAATGGAAAATGGCCGATGAATTACGGTGGCTTGTACAGTAGTCTAAAATGAATGCCTTTTAGGAAACGGATTAGATGAAAGGAACTCAATTTATGAACTTTAGAGCTCTGAAACAAAGCCTTTCGTTGACAAGGCGCAGAGTTTCCTTGACGAGATCGCCGCGGATCAACAGGGATTCGAGGTTTGAGTACTTTGAAATAAGCTAAGCTGAATTCGATTTAGCTTCAGAGAGAATCCGATGATGAAGAAAATGAGGATATTGAACGAATCGCGAAACCAAAACAATCGTTCGATGTGGCCGAGAGTGATGGCGGAGACAAAATTGTGGCCGCTTTTGAGAAAACTGTCGTGAAAAAGAGTCGAGGTTGGTGAAAAGATGATTAAAAGTTATTTGTAAGTCGCTGGGATTACTCTAATTAGTACTACTTTTAAATAAAGTATAATTTTGTTATCAAATTTCCCTAGCCTGCCCTTCAAACGAGGCCCCGTTGTGGATGATTTGGGAGGGTGGAGAGCAACAAAACGACGATGAGTCAATGGGAGAGATCATCCGTTTCCCAACGCGAAGACACTGCGAGAATTCGTGCAATCAACTGGTGAGTGCTTGGGAGCAGAGATCTTACAATCTGAGCCTCGAATCGAATAAACTCATCAGAATTGCTTTAAATGGATATAAAAATGGAAATGAGCTGAAATCGCAGAACCTTTTTTGGAGAAGAAATCAATTTGAATCCTTTTTCTTTTGAATTGAATCCTTTTTCTTTTGAATTGAATCCTTTTTCTTTTGAATTGAATCCTTTTTCTATACTCTAGCTAGTGTAAACAAACGCCTTATTGATCATAAAACAATTTTTGCTAATTTTGCAAAATAGCAAAAGAAGTTCGCCCATGAGCGGTATCGAACCAGGAAGGAAAAATGCATAAGCGCTAAGATGCATTGAGGGGGAACATCTAAGCCTTTTATGCTTCACATAAATGGTGTGCCATAAATTCGAAAAAAAAACCTTTTAAAAATCATGAACTTTGAGGTTATTTTTCTCAAAAATCTTGTTTTTCTAGTACTTTTTCGGATTCAGAAATTATTTTCTAATAAAATTTCTAATAAAATGGGTGTTATTTGATCAAAGGCGGTGATCAAAGGTGGTCAATATTTGATCAAAGGTGATCAATCTGTTTGCAGTAAGCCAAAAATGAGCATTTCAGGACGATTGCCTTGGGTACACGTATCACGAGAAAAGCGGTGAATGCGCGGCGAATGAGGGTTTCGACGGGGTGACGGTGAAGGTGAGATATCAACATCTAGATCTAGACAATCAAGGCAGACAATCAAGACAGACAATCAAGACAGACAATCAAGACGACAACAGACGACAAACAAACAAGACGACAGCGACAACAGACAGACCGACAAAGACGACAGGACAGACACGGACAGACAAACAGGACAGACAAACAGGACAGACAAACAAGACAAAAGAATCATTCAAATATGCAAATTTCTTGTAATTTTTATAATAACCCTCGTCCCTTTAGGCAAGCCACTCGAGTGACGCGTCGACGAGCACCAAATTTTGCTTTACCGGTTTGTTTCTTGAGATTTTAGCTAATATCTAATTGCTAAGATTATGATCTAAGAAATATGCAAATCGATATATAAATTAGTGCCAAATTAGTGCTAAATTTGAGCTCTAAATATCCTCAAATCATGAAAATTCCTTTTCAGATGCGCTTCCTGTTTTCAATCAATGCCCACCGATGCGTGGTTTCATCGGATTTTCACTGGAAGTGGGCGGGGATTTTTTTTTCGTTTTTTTTCCGATTTTCTTTTTACCGTAATCTTGCCTCTATTTTTTTATTCAATAGAAACACTTTTTGTCTGATTTTCTGCGAGTTCATAAAGGGTATCAATATAGAAAGTGAATAAATTGGCTAAAAATAGAGGTAACGATTACGGTAGAAAGGGGACAGAGTTTAAGAAATCGATTAATGAAATATTATAGACTAGGGAAAATGATTTTTCCGTAGGTGAAACCACGAGAAGAATTTACATCACTTCCGAAAGGGTATCATGGATTGCGAATGTGCATTGAGTTATGCGTTCTGTCTACAGAATACTCGTGTCGGGTTGGTTGAATAATTTATCATTCTTAAATGAAAGACACTATATCTAAAGCTAATTACTTTGCCTTTACTATATCTAAAGCTAATCACTTTTCCATCAATTTGCCAACCAAATTTCAGCCAGAGTAAACATCAGAAAAGACGGGATAAGATAAATAGTTATACTGTAGTCCTGAGCTTTACTCATCTAAGCTTACAGTAGCTAAATCTTCTATAAAAAAGAGATCAATAAGGAAACAGATCTGTATTTCAGTCAGCATCTTTCATCTCTGATGAGGGTCGTTGTTTGTTGAATGGAGAAAACTCCGAGACCACACCGGAGGCTTTTCAAAGGACATTCATTCAAGAACATTTGTATTTTGAGAACGAATGCAGTCGAGTCACGCACATCACACAAAATGGTATGGAAAAGGGAAAGCTTGGCTAGTTTCAAATCCGGCTAGTTTTCTAATATAAAAAGATATTTGGATTCATCGAAATATAACAAATAAGCTCCATTCTTACCTGTCCAATCCAGCCCAATCCAGTCCAATCCAGTCCAATCCATCCCAATCCAGTCCAATCCCTTGGCTTGGTCTTGCCTAGCTAAACTCCTGCAGTACTCCATTTAAATCTCTTCTCCTAATAGTTCGTTTTCTAAAACGTGTCCCTTTCCCCTAATCTTGTCTCTCTAATCTTTTTCCCAGTCCTCTAGTAGAACTGATAATGATGTGCATTTGAAACTTTGCTGTTTACCTGAATGATTCAGAAGCTGAACACCAAACAGTCGTTCGCGTGTCGAAGGGACATCCGGAATCGAGTGAAAAGAAAACGATGATCAAACAAAAAACAGGTTTCGGAAATTGAAGAAATTGTTTTTTTTTTACTGATTTACCTTTCTAAAATTACAAGAATCACTGATTTTAGAATCACCGATTAAACCGATGAAAAAGCTGCGACTTGTCAAGATCAAACCGAAACGATTATCGCCTGAGCCAGCGGTCAGAAAAATCAATCAACTTTTGTTGACTCGAACGCTCTAAAGCATGCTTTAACTACCGTAACTCAGTCAACAGCTTTATCAATGGCCAAAACGACTATCTGGGCTATCTGGTAGCTGGGGGCACTAAAAAGAGTAGCCAAACTGGGCACGTTTTAGAGCGGAGTCTCAAGAAACTCCTACAGTACTCCATTTAAATCTCTTCTCCTAATAGTTTGTTTTCTAAAACGTGTCCCTTTCCCCTAATCTTGTCTCTATTTTTTAATTCAATCTATAGACTTTTTATATTCTTCGATATCCTTGAACCCTTACAAAATCAGACAAAAAGTAGATACCGTATTTTCTCTAATAGTAGTGCACCCTGAGCGTCGCCTAAATTCCTCGAAATCTCGAAAACCGATTATCAGAACCTATCAATGTGGGGTCGGAAAATGTAGCTGACGATGAGATCTAGTCGGAGATTTGAGTATTGAGCTTCTGGGGAAACTTTGGGAGCCGTAAATAGTCATCAACTCGGCTCGCCGGATTGGTGAACTACTATTTGAGAAAATACGGTAGATTCGATAAAAATAGAGATAAGATTACGGTAGAAAGGGGACATGTTTTAGGAAAAGACTTATTTGACATAAAGCTCTAGATCGATGCTCGTCAATCGATGGATTTGATCAAGTACACGGGCGCCTTCTTCAGACGATTCTTCCGGTTTTGAGCGAAAAGTCGGCCAAACTCACTTCAACTACATTCCATGAAACAAATCTCAGTGCAATGATTTTCGAAATGCAAAAACGTGTATAATAAAAGTTATAGATTGAAAGATTAAAAGAAAACGGCTCTTAATTCAGCTAATATTAATAATTTAACAGATGTGAATTTGTAGCAAAAATACAGAAAAATTGAATTGACATTGACCCCAGAGATTTGAGCGAACACTAGGATCAAGAACCCAGGAGGCTCCCTAGCTAACCGCTTCTTCTGCCTTTACAGATTCCAAAAGAATCCCCTATACCAGGACCGTATGCCAGATGGAGAACGATTACGCGGGCGCACAGAGAACGCTAGTATGGATTTCCCTCTTTTGCATTGTAGATGGCATAAAAAGAAGCTATTCAGCTGTGGATTTGCACCCGGGGGTTTTTGGGATCGCCGAATCGATTGGCGCTATTCATTTTATTCAGTCTACCAGCAGAACCCTTCAATACCCTGGCTTAGCCCAGAACTTTCACGGTTTGCAACGTCCATCCTGTGCATTTCATTTCATTGAGTCAATCAATCGGAACTCGGGTTTAACTGGTTTAAACTTTTAGATAAGGTGTGTTCACCTAAAGCTCAGTTTTTCGGTTAAAGAGTGAACTACAGTAGACTTGGTCAACTACGAGGTTCAGCGTCATCCTTTTCCTAACCGCTCGAGACATCCCGGTCTCCAGTAAATCCTCGAATTTTCCAAGAAAACCGTAATGTTTGAGTAGGGTAGAACATTTAGAAAACATGCAATAATTATAGGATTACAATTCTAACTAACTATCTCCAATCGAATAGTAGACTACAGTACACTATCGTACACTCAATTGTTCAATGGTTTAGGTCATAATCTAAATATAATTATAATCTTTAATCATCAAATTTTACAATATGTTTTTAAAAGAGTTAAATCAAAGTTTCCATTGCATTCCAATTTCCATTCACACTACAAACCAAGGCGAGAACCTATAGTAATTTAGATCTTACTGTAATTTGAATTATACTATAGCTTATAGAAATTGCAAATCATACTGTAGTTTCGTTTTGAGACACTTTTGAGACAAATGCTCGCCGTTTTTCCAGTTTGTCCGCTAATCACAAAGTGATCGACGTCAAAAACGTGGACGAGGATTTGGGAAATGATGGCCAAAGGGAAAGGGGCCAAAGGGAAATGATGGCCAAAATGATGAGGGAAAGGGAAACACTCTAACAATCACATGCAAGAAAATCTCTAAAACTAAAAGAAAAGAAAAGAAAAGAAAGGAAAATCGGCTTTTGTTTTGACGCGGAAAAGGCTTTGGATAGACCGCTTCCGCTGAAGTGAAAATTTGCGTAAAAGATTATGATTCGTGGTGGTGGGGGGAATCGGCGAATCAGACGGCGAAAGTGACCAACTCCAAATCATTTTTTGACTCTTTCTTTCGCACGGTGAGGCCAATTTTTTTTTCTTTTTGATTTACTATATTTTGTGCTTCGTAAACGCATCGCTCTTTGGCGCAATGAATTCCTCCTCATTTTCAGAGTTAAACAGCAATTCTCATACTCATAAACACATTGGATGGGAGTCTAGAAACTGTCTGATTCCACCGTATCCATTAGCTTTATGAGATACGGTAGAATTCGCTTAACTTTTGAGTACTTTCTGCTCACTCGTAAACACACCCCTTTTGGTGCACATAATTCATCGCTTTTCTCACGGCAACTATTTGAGAAAAATGGGAGAATTTCGCTGCGCCAGATGGGACATGTTTACGCAATGAACTGCCGAGTGCTAGCCTTGTACTTTGTGTTCGATATTTATAAACGCATCCTCTCTAGCGCACCGTATTCTTTACTTTTCTTATGAAATTAAATGAGAGAAATGGGGGTAGGCTAATTTCCGCAAATTTTTTTTTTGCGCAACTGGATCCCTTGCGCAACTCGCCATAACTTTCTTCTAAGTGGGCCAAACTTTATGTTTTTAGTTTCATTTTGTAGATCTCAATAAGTGCAACAAAATGACATCAAAATGATAAAGATTGGTTCACTTAGAAGAAAGTTATGGCGAGTTGCGCAAACGATCTAGTGGAAATTAGCCTTTCCTACTTTGCGCAACTAGCCATTCCTTCCCCATAATTGGGGAATGGTTATGGCGAGTTGCGCAAAAAAAAAAATTGCGGAAATTAGCCTACCCTATTTCTCGAAATGAAGAATCAAGTGCGCCAGAAAGGATGCGTTTTGACAAAGCAAAAGGTAAACGAAATCAAAAACCTCTTGCACACTTTTCCCCTCTTTCAATCAGACAAATATTTATTCACGTCAGAGCGTGCGTTCTTCTTTTTTTTCTTTCCAGAAAACATGTCGTAAAAATTTTATTATATATTCTTTATAGTATTGTTTTGAAAGTTTTAACTTTTGAAAGGTTTAAATGTAAATTTTTAATAGATAAATGTCGATCCGAGTCCGAGATTTGTCCTCACCAGCGCCCCGGGAAATCGCCCAGTTCGAGATTGATGATGGAAATGAGGAAAAGGAAAATAAAAAACATTTCCGAGGGCCACCGGTATGGAATATTTACATATTAATTACAGATTTAATATATAAAAATCTTATAAGTTTATTGTAAGATGATGGAAATGAGGAAAAGGAAAATATTTGATTGTACAGTATTCCTGTCATTGTACTATTGCTATTTTTTTGCTAAGACTCTGAAAATGCGTGTCTAGGGGTTATTTTTGACGCCGATCACGAAACACATGTTTTTAGCCTAGGTTTCTGCACGGAAAACTAACGAAACGTGAAAACAGCCATTTTTTGGCTCTGCCGCCCTTTACATTAACCCTAAAATAGCTGTAAAAACTTTTAGAAAAGAGATATCTCAAAACGGTTTTTACCAATCGATCCGTCTTGAATTCAGCTTGAATTCAGCTTGAATTCAGATGAGCTTTACATAAATAAAACGTCAAAATTCGACAAATTTAAGGTACTCTCCCAAAAAATCGGAAAGGACTTTTCCATCAACCCAATACAATATCCTTCGGAAACTTTTGTATTTTAGCAATAAAGTACATAAAGAACCATAAGTTGAGAATATTTTTATAGAGTTATGCAATTCAAATATTTAACAGTTTACATATCTCAACTTTATATTGTTATAATGTTGTAACATATCCATCCAGGTATCCAGAAAATCGCTGGATGACAATTTGCATAGATGAAATTGGCATATCTATCTAAAATCTGTTAGATAAATCTTATGCTAGAAGATAAGTAGTTGTAGTAGTACTGTAGTTATAATACTTTACATAAAATCACTCGAGACCTAATAAACTAAAAGCTTTAAAGATCTCTCGTTCTTTAGGGTTAAGGCTATACTTCTGGGATGTCAAAGATGAGATTTAAATTGAAATTTTCATAACTTCATAATGCGATTTCATTTTTCATAGTAAAAAAAGATAGCATCACTGTCTATCTATCGCACTCTGACGAAATAATAGCATCGACGAAAGTTTTTCTAGTTCTTTCAAGTAAAAAGGAAACCAATTAAGCCAAATAATTTTTTATCTAGAATCAATTTCTCATATGTAAATCTTTTACTCTTTAATATATTAACCATTTGCTTTTTTTTCAGCCACCATTCTCTGAGGTGGACATGGAAAGCAGCAAGGATGAGCTGAGAAAGAGATGGGATGACGACAACAAAGAGATCAAAGAGATCAAACCGCCGATCACTCTTCATCAAGAAGAGGTAGGCAATGTTTTCATTTTTGAAAAGTTTAACACTTTTGATTGTGTGCATTTTTGCAAAAATCCAACTAACGCTTGTATTTTTGCTAAAGAAATCCTGAGAATCCCTATTGAAATCGATGCTTTTTCATTGTTGGCAGATTGAATGAGGCCTAAAAAGTGAAGCCTGAGCAAATAATGTTCAAAAAAGGGAAAAACAAGTATCGCTTCGATTAATCGGCAGTGTTTCAAAATGTTTTCTGAAATTTCTGAGTTTTCTTTTGATTCTTTTCACTCTTTATGTCTAGGATATTTCTTAAAACTTTGAATTGCTTTGGAAAAGAAAAAATAAAGTTTAGAATTGGGTTTAAATCTAATTTCTGGGGTTAGCTAGCCTAGCTTAACTAGCCTAGCTTAGCTTAACTAGCCTAGCTTAGGTAGCCTAGCTTAACTAGCCTAGCTTAGGTAGCCTAGCTTAACTAGCCTAGCTTAGCTAGCAATTTGTAATTCAGTCATTATTGATGATGTTAATGAAGTTAATGTTAATGAAATTAATGATATAATGTATGTTAATACCGACTGGGGCTACCAGTGGTGAATTTATCGCATACACGAAATATATCAATCACAATACAACGACACACACAATACTAGGCTATATCTTAACTTAACCCACGTCATGACAGACGGCTCCCTAACCCTAAGCTCAATGGGGAACTAAATAGCTTTTTTGGTGGTGAAGGGAAGATGACGATGAAGGAATGATTAAAAAGATGTCGAATTTGTATTGTAATTTCTGTAATACTTCTAAAGATATAGGTAATTTAAAGAAAAATCGAAATTTGGTTATAGGCTCAATCGAAGGCTTAATTGCTGTGAACTTTGGGTAAACACGCACAATCTTTCTGGTGCACTCAATTCTTCATTTTTCATTGTTGCTTTGAGAAAAGTGAAGATTCAAGTACGCTAGGTGATTTGTGTTTACAGCTTACAGAAAAGTACATAAAGGTTTAACATTTAAAGTCTTTTAAAGTATTTTTAAGGTGTTTTAAGGTCTTTTAAAGTCTTTTAAAGTGTTTTTTGAAGTGTTTTAAGGTCTTTTAAAGTCTTGTAAAGTATTTTAAAGTCTTTTAAAGTGTTTTAACATCTTTTAAAGTCTTTTAAAGTATTTTAAAGTGTTTTAAAGTCTCTTAAATGAATGCCATTCTCAGATCACCATCGAGATCTAAATTTGGCTTCACGAAATCGCGAAAATCGAGAAAA